AAATTTTAATTTATTAGCCTATTCAATGCATAAGTATTATATTTTAAAATAAATATATAATCAATAATTAAAGAATAAAATTTTACAAATATGGAAACACATCAAAATATATAGGTGTTTATAGAAAATTTAAAAGTTTATATAAAATAATAATAAAAAAGTTATATAATAACTTTGATTTCTAAAATTTAAAACAAATTTATAAAAAAAGTATATAAAAAATAAAATATATATAACAATAAAAATAAAAAGAAAACTAAGTCATTTGACCAAAAAAAAAAACATTCAAATTACTCCTTTAGATTTAAAATTTTGGAAGTCATTAATTAATTTAGTTATTATTGTAAAAAAAATTATTAAAATACAATAAAGACAATTTGTCTCGTAAAAATTTACTTTAGACATAAAATAATATTATTTTAGAATCTTTTAAAAACAGTTTAGATATTTTAGCTTTAATTTTTTATTTTATTTTTTTGTCTTCTTCCCTTCTTTTGCTTCACCTTATTGTTTAGAAATTTATTTATCTTTAACTGAAGTAGTAATAGATATTTAATAGAAATACTAATCTAAAACGTCATGACATTTAAAATCTAAACCTACAAATTTTCTCATTCTTTTCTTTATTTTGTCCATAAATTTTTGACTTTGCTTACATAAAAGAAAAATGTTATAGGTGGTGAAAGCTCTTATTAAGCAGTAACAACACATGTCATTCTAATTATTACTATGGCTGAAGACTAATAAGAGCATATCTAGATTTTGATAGTGAATTTGTAGAAGGATAGGTGCCTAAAGAAGAAGACGAAACAAAAGAAAAAAAGAGAAATAAAAATTTTAAAAATTAAGAATAAGAATGAATTATTTTTGAAATATTCTAAAATAATGTTGTTGTGTGCTCAAAAATAGACTTTATCATGTTACTTTTTAATGTAATAAATTATTATTTTATTATTATATTTTAATAATTTTTTATGGGAAAAATTAAAATGATTATTGACTCTTAATTTCATAAACTAATGTTTAAAATTCTACATCCAGAGAATTGATGTAAATAAAATTATACATTTTAGGGATTGAAGTGAAAGTTTCCTTAAAATAAAAGAGTCTTTAGTAATGTTTATTCTTCGTGGAAGCATTTTGAACCTATTTACCTAATTATATTGCTTAAACTATATTATCAAATCTGTGATTATACTTACCAAAGAATAAACAAATTAAAATATATACATTTCAAACAAGAATTTTTAGTGGAATTAAAAGTACAAAAAATTAATAAAATAAAAAAGAACAAAAAATTGTGTGAAAATGAAAAAAAACTACTATTTTAGTCTTTATTATTTTTAAAACAATTTAAAACAATCACTAAAATAAGTAATATGTCATATTAATTATCAATATTTTTAATCATTAGTTAACTCAATCATGTTATTAAGGAAGCATTGATTTGTAATGTTAAATGCTAGATAGCAAGTGTACATGGCATTTAATCATAATATGGTAATGTGAGTATAAATTTATAATTTTCTTTAAAGTCGGTTAATTTAATCCTAAAAATTCATTAATCAATCTAATTGGGTCTTAAAAATCTTTAATCAATCAAATTAGTTTCCAAAAAAAATTTAATCAATCATCCTAGGGCTTTTAAATCTAAATAAAAAAATATTTAAAAGTTATTCTTCTTTTAATGTTATAGTAGATGAAGTTAGTTTATTAAGTCTAATAATGAGGTGATCAATTTGGCATGTTAGTTGTATTTTTAGGTTAAATTTTAATATGATAGTGGTGAGTTTGAGGTGGGAAACATAGAGCAATTATTTTTTGTTTCTTTGATGCATGTCTCACAATGACTTTTCAGTTTGTAGTAATGTTGGGTTGAATGATGGTAAAGTTGTGGTGATTAGCTAGTGTTGATGGTAGCAATGACTTTAATATTGGTTGGTTAATTCTAGAAATCCAAATGATAAATTTTGGGTGGGTTACTCTATTTGGGATTGATAGATAATTTTAAAATGTAATTTTGAAAAAAAAAGGAGAAAGAGGAAGAGGAAAAAGAAAATTTTGATTTAGGGTTATATGAATCAACTTGATTGATTATTTTTTTTTTAATATCAAATTAACTAATTAGGATTTTTTTTAAGAATCAATTTAACTGATAAGGATTCTTTAGAGACCAGTTAATTAATTAAAGATTCTCTCGACACTAATTTGACTATCTAGGAATTATTTGATGACCAAGTTGACAAATTTTAAGATTAAGAATCAAATTGATAAATTATGAAGAAGTTATAGATTCTAGCTGTGTCGTGCTATCATGTCATCACTAAATGATACACGTCACATCTAAATGGCACTTGTTTAATAAGGCACAATGATAGTTTTCTCATACAAAAATTATTGAAATGTACCATATTATATTAAAAGAATATCATTTCTCAAGTAAAAATAATGTAAAATATAAAATATTATCAATATATCAAAAATTAAAAGTATAATAATAACTATGAGTCATCAAAATCAACAAAATGATTAAAGTTTTTTTTTTCTTGAGTAAACTTAATTTGAGATACATGATTTTTTTTTTTTTAATTTCAATGTGAATGAAAAAGATTGTTTCAATTAGTTATATAAGTAAGAAAAAAAAAACTCAAAAATATAAAAGCGAAAAAATAAATAAATAAAGGGACTAAAACCATAAATTTAAAAAAGGTCAAAGATCAAAATCATATTTAAATTAGACAATTAAATTTAGAGTTTTATTTTAAGACTAAGGATAAGTAGTTAATAATAGTAAAATTTTATTAAAAAGAGAAGTATTTATTATATTTTTATAACTTCAATATAATAATTGTATACTTTTTTTTTATAAATTTTTTTTATTTGTGGATGTTTAAACTTAACCCTAAGAGTTGAGGTTAATAAAACCCTTAAATTTACATCAAGCAATTAAATGATCTAAGAAATTATGTAGTCATGGACTAATAATTTTATGGACTCATTTGTTATCTAATCTCAATTATTTTAAAATTGAAAGACTGTTTTTTTTATTATTATTTATACCACTTATTTTATTGTCTTTTGAAATTTAATTTTTAGAAGTGTATTAATATTTTTTTAAAAACAAAACTATGGACTTCCCAAATTTAATTTTTATAAATAATTTTGCACCTTTTAAAAAATAAATTCTGAAATTCATTTATCAATCTTATCTAAATCATAAAACTAATTTTATATCTTTTAAAAATTAATTTTTGAAGTCATTTGAAAATTACTTATAGAATTAATTTTGGAAATTAATTTTATGCTTTTCAAAAATTAAATTTCAGAAGTTATATGAAAATCATTTTTAGAATTTAGTTTCTGAAAAGTAATAAATACATTTTAAAAATTAAATTCTCAAAGCCTCAATCAAATAGGTGGTGTGAATAAAAAAAAAGGGTGGTGAAATTAGCAATTCCCATAATCTTCTTTGAATTGAGGTCATATAAGTTAGATTCCCTGCATAACCATCCTAATGATCATTACTAAGTTTAAATGACTTGTTGAGCAAACAACTATTAAAAGATTGGTTGTAGTAAGTGTTAGCACTGTAGTCTATCATTAATCCCTCAAATTCCTTGAAAATCTCTCCACCTTTGTTTATTTTATTTATTTATTTTATAATATTTGGTCTTAGATAAGATTTGTGTGATGAATTTTAATTAATTTTGTTTCTTTTTTTATAGTGATTTTCTTGCTTCATTATTTAAATAATTTTTTAAATTAGCTGATCTAAGTTAGGCTATTGTTTGGACTTATGTAACACCTTGTTTTTTTCCCACAATTTAGGACACTTGTATTTCAAACATTAGCTTTCCAATGGCTTTGGTTGGGGCTTAAATTCCTCGTATGGTCCAAAATATGGCCAGATTATTACACAATAAAGTTATGTTGTTAGGATTAGTGCATTAGCTCAAATTTATTGTTTTTAGCATTATAAAGGACAAAATCAATTAGGACCCATTTCTTTTACGGTTATGATATTTGTTTAGCCTTTAAATATATCTATATTATTTAAATGGACTTCTATAACATAAGATACCTAGTGGAATAAGACAAGACTGCATGTAAATAGGCTTGAATTCATATTTAAGCATTAATTACTCAAATTTAGCACCATAAAAGTTTAATTAAGCAAAAAAAAAAATGCAATTAAAGAATGAAGTAATAAAATAATAACTTGTTAAATGTGCTGGTTAGCATTTGAAACATTATTTATTTGTTTGATTTTAATAACATAATTTTACAAGTCACTTTAGGTTCTTCAACAAGTATTGTTTTCATACAAGTTTCCCCATGCTCACTCACAATTAAAAAATAATATGAATACTATATATTTCTCAAAATACTCTTAAAGTGGTTAAGTAATTTATGCCAAAAGAAAAAAAAACAAGAAATTATTTCTAAGTACTATATATTTCTAATTTCTACTTTATGTATCACAGGTAATTGGTGGAGATTCAATGAACTACAATAATTCTTTTATTCTAAAACCACCCATTGAGTAAATTAAACAACACCATTTTATTGAGTTTAATTAAGTTAACTCACATATTACTCAACCCATATCAATAATTCCACTTAAATACAAACATTGTTCTTATTAATATTTGACAAAAATCAAGAGTAGTCAAGCTAAACAACTTGGAATAGACCACACCAAGTTCTAACCACCTACAATCAAGAAAATGCATACATGCATCAATACACATTAAATATCCATATATTTTCTCCCATACATCTGTGTATTGTTTTGGGTACAACATTTATGTATGAATATCCAAATTGTCTTGAGTGGTTGAAATTTATGCAATGCAGATTAGAATAATGGTATTTCATTTCTCATAATATAAATGGAAAAAAATGCAAAACAGTTGAATTAAGTAGGAAAGAAGCTAAGTATATACCAAACCACAAAGCCCAAATAGTTAAGAAGAAAGGAAACCACAATAGCAAATAGCAAATAGCAAATAGCAAATAGCAAGGGGTAATGTGGTGAGAGGAAGAGCAGCAAAGCTAATAGATTAAGATTAGACAAAGACAAAGAAAGAAAGAAAAAGAGAAAATATAGAAAAAGAGAAAACCATTAGAATAATTGATGAAAATTTGCTCTATATAAACATATATCCACACACACCAATTTTTTTCTTCTGCTTTGGTAACTGCAGAGAGAAAGAAAGGAAGAGAAGAAACGGTGCGAAGCAAAAGAAAGGAAGAAAGAAGAAAAAGCGTGGAAGGAGGAATCGGCGGTGCTTCACCGGCGATCGCTCATCGGGTCCGGCGAAGTTCAGATCGCTGCTTATGCTTCTCTGGTAAGTCGGTGGATCGTCACCGCCTTCTTCTTTTGCTTCTGCAGTTCCTGGATCTGTGATTTCTGTCGCCGATTACCGTGTTTCTAAATCTTTCGTTTCATGTTCCAATTCTTGTTTGTTTCCTCAGAAAGTGGATTTTCCTGTCCCCAATTTATGAGTTCATTGTCGTTTTCGGCGTCAGTAGTGTCGTTCTCTTGGTTAGGGATTAGAATCTGGTGGAAGTGGTGTGTTTTGAAGGGAAATATGACTTGTGTTTTGTGTTTGTTCTGGATTGTGTTTAAACGTGGATTCAATTTGATGAATTTGCTTTTGCCTTTTTGATTTCTGGTTCTTGTGACGAGTCTTATGGTATTTGATTATTTGTAGTTGCTTTTCTGTGGTTTTTCTGGGCAGAAATTCGTCCCTTGCGATCTTTCCAGAGGCAAAATTGCTGTAGTATTGCAGTGCTGGGTTATTGGCTCACTTGTGGAAAGTTTTTATATATGGGCTGAGGTACACTTTTCATGGGAGGTGTGGAGGATGAAGAACCAGCTTTGAAACGAATGAAATTATCCTCTAAAGGACTAGTTGGTCTCTCTAACGGTTCATCTTCAGCGGGGCCTGTTGGAGGCTCTTCAACTGACTTGATGGCTCGGCCCCTATCATCTGAAGGGGACAGCGAAGTTATTGGTTCGAAAGGGGTTATAAAGAGAGAGGAGTTTGTTAGGATAATCACGAAGGCATTGTATTCTCTTGGTTACAAGAGGAGTGGGGAACGCCTAGAGGAGGAGTCTGGCATACATTTGCACTCATCTGTGGTGAATCTGTTTATGCAGCAAATACTTGATGGCCATTGGGATGAAAGCGTACTCACATTGAATAAAATTGGTCTAACAGATGACAATGTTGTCCGGGCAGCCTCGTTCTTGATATTGGAGCAGAAGTTTTTTGAGCTTCTTGATGGAGAAAACTTCATGGATGCATTGAAGACATTGAGAAGTGAGATTGCACCACTTTGTGTTGATAGTAGTAGAATTCGTGAACTTTCTTCCTGCATAGTTTTGCCATGTAGCCAGGTTGGTTCTTCTAGGCAAGATATTATACGGGTGAGATCACGTTCAAAATTGCTGGAAGAATTGCAAAAACTTCTTCCCCCAACAGTGATGATACCTGAGAATAGATTGGAACATCTAGTTGAACAAGCCCTTATCTTGCAACGCGAGGCTTGCCCATTTCACAACTCATCCGATAAGGAGATGTCGTTATATTCAGATCATCACTGTGGAAAAACTCAGATACCTTCTAGGACATTACAGGTTAGAAAACGATATGTCTAAAGGGTGTGAGGTTTAAATGGGAATCTTCATATTTGACCATTATACTTTAACCTCACTGTAATTGTCTGTGAAATCCTTATTACTGACTTGTTGGTCAGTAGTGGTAGCATCATCCTCTTTCTGGTTCCTTTTTAAAGTACTACTAATTTTTGTGAGTATTTAATTTTGCATCTTGCAAATGGCTATGATTAATTTTTACTCCATGTGGGTTATTTCTCTTTTGTCTCAACTTTAGATGATGAAGCATTATCGACGTAAAAAAATTTTTGTATGAAATAACAACATTCTGGTGATAGTAGTTTCACACTACTGTCAAAGATGCTGGTCTTTATCGTAAAAGATATAAAGTCATTTTGTACTAGCATAATTGGTACTTGAAATGTGAAGCTTCTCTATCCATAGGCTTTTGGGTGCTGGAGCTTACTTTAGTTCTAGGATTCTGTTTCTCTTATTGATGTTGAATCACTTGAATACCGTTCATATCCGGTTCTGGTTAACCTGGTTTGCTTATAGATTGAACTTTGTTTTGAGATTGTTCTTGTCCGTTCTATCTTATTTTATGTCCTATATTTGCTCATTCTTGATACTCTTCTCTTATATCCTTTCTGGCTGTCTACCTATACCTTTGAAGGCTTTTCTAGTCATCTGCATCTGTTGTCTCAGCTCTCAACCTTAACCTTGACTCCTCCACACTTCTCCACAGGCATACCCTGTTGCCATTTTGTGTATGTTAACTTATATATCTGTAAATATTTATACTGTTTCCCTAATTGAAATAGTTCCTAAGCATTTTTTGTGGCACAATCACACAACAGTTTCTTACCATAACTTGTTCTACAACTTGAACCCATTGTTCAAAGCTATGGCAACACTTCATTAGCCCCAGACACATGGATATATGCATACACTTTGGATGTTCAGGTTGAATCTTTGGTGCTAAAAGACCCATTTGTCATCAGGGAAGTTCCATGCTTACTACTGTCATATCTAGTGCTTATTTTCATCTCCACTTGATTCAGCATTGACACGCCACTATTTGTCAAGTTCAATTTAAAGATATAGAGATCTGGTTTAGCTAGATTTATTATTATTATTATTATTATTATTACACAAGTAACAAGTTTTTTTGAGAAAGGATAGAATAAACATAACAACCAAGCCTTTTTCGCTGGGTGGGGTTCAGTATGTTATATGTGGATCAAACAACACCATAATACTGTATCATAAATCATGTCTATGGACAAACCATTGACGCATACATTCCTCTTATTGGTATTACATGTAATGTTTAATCATAAATCATGTTTATAGAATAACAAACATAAGAAGAGGAAAGAGGTCCTAAAAGTGAAGAGCAGAAAGAACAAATTCTTGAGAAAGCATCAAAATGAGAGTTTTCAAACCTTTGTTTTTCAACTTTGGAAACACTTCTAAAAGTTCTAGAGTAATGCAGTTCTCTCTCCATTTCTAAGAGAGTTTGGCCTTTTTTCTGCATACATGGTATATGTATTTCTTCCTTGTAAAATTGAAACTGAGATACTTATCTGCCAATGATTTTCTTAGTTCCAACTTTCATTAAATGTACAAAATATCGTATTACATATGATTATAACAATTTCACATGCAAAAATAATTATGTGCTAGCTTCCTAGCTAGAAAATGAATTATGGTATCATACTGAAGAATTTTACACTAAAGGGGCAGAGACTATTCAGACTCAATTTAAATACTCGTTAAATGACATTATAAAAAGAGTATAATAAGAAGAGCAAAGCAAAGATCCAAATATCCTAATTTAAACATAAAAATATCTAAAACGTTGAAATAAAATATATTGGTATCCTTATAAGTGTTGAAATGGACTAGAATTTGGTATTTTTGCTTTGGCATCTGTCGTTTCACCAGTTGTTACTTATTAAAATGCTTTTCTCTCTATAAAACAATGAGAATTGTGCCTCATTAGTCGGATTTGAGGGTGAATTTTGCACATAGCTTGGATGTTATGTCTTTCAAAATTCAAATGCCAGTTCCAAACCCAGGGAGGAGAAAAGATAAAAGGGATAGAACACATAAAGTATTGCAACCATTTTCTTCATTGAAATTACTTGATTGTATTATGATTTTATCCATGTGATATTGGAAGAAGTTGGAGAACCCTTGATATGTGGGTTTCAGCTAAGGAATGTTGGGGCTTTCTATAATGATGTTATTTGAATGTGATGAACTACATGGCAGAATCTCAATGATTTTTCTTTGTTCACTGAACTTGGTCCAGCAGCAGCAAAACCTGTATACTGGTTATCTAATCAAGGGGTTTAGTTGCTAGGAGTTTCGGGCAAGGATAACTAGATAGGTATTTGGTGAGTATCAGCAGATCATTTTGTTATTTAAAATACCAAGGTATAAGTGAATGTAAATGTGAATCAAAAGAGATAACTAATGACCTATAATGTCAATCTAAAGCTGAAGCTATTAGGTGAAGGCTAATAAATGGTTTTTATATCTACGACACCTCACATTAGAGCCTTTTATGCTTGTAGCATGGACAATGCACTGGGCTGCCCTATCATGTACTGAAATTCATAATGACTTATGCAAATAAGTGTATTTCTTTTCATTTACTCCTAGCTGTTTGTTCTTCAACCTTAACTACCCTTATATTGCATGAATAATATTGATACTCAAAACAAGTTCCTGTTTAAATCAATACTCAAATCATAAAGAAACAAATGAATAAATATGCATGTGATAATTAAGACATGGATTAAGGATATGATGCTTTTTAGGGTAGTAAAGGTTATTTTAACTTAGCCATGGAATAGAAAAAATAAATTTCTTTATTTTGATTAAGGGAGCTTTGAATATTATGTTAAATAATTGTTTCATGTAACTTTGGAGTCTTGCCCATGTGTAGGTACATCTTCAATTGCAAGTTGTGCCACTTCCCTTTAGACTGTTGTGGAATTTTTCTGTCATTAGTGTTTTAGGCATGTTCTTATCTGGATGTTGACGTACCTGCCTTCCACCAAACTATATATGGAATGAAGGGCATAAGTATGATTGATGTGTGTTTTTAACAGGCTAGTATTCCATACAATAACTTGTAGATTATTGGGTGCGTTGGATCTTACAACTAGTTGTGTCTGAATTTCTAGAATGTTTTAAAGAATTATATGTAATTAGATTTGGTGCACCAGCAAGGTAAAATCAAGAAATGGGGTCAGTATAATTTTAAATAAGTATTGGAATGACAATGTGGATAAAAGGTTGAAGATAAGATCATAATTCTGAAGTTTGTTGTAAGTACATTAGAAGAGCACCACAAGGAAAAATTCTTGTTGGATATAGAAGGTTTAGGTTTGGGAATATGATTCAGAAGATTTTGCTAAAGGGGATCTAAATGGTCATGTGGGGGAATGCATCTAGAGGATATGAGGGTTTGCATGGGGTTAGCCTGGGGGGAACAAATGCTAAGGATGAATATATCCAAAGATTTTTCTTAGGTCTTAGCTTTGGATATTACAACATCCAACACTTGTTTTAGGAAACAAAAGTGGTATGCTCTCAAATCAAATTTTTTTGTCCACAGGATTCAGGGAAAGCTTTGCATGGGTTGCAAAGTCATACCCAGAGTGTTTGATTACCCAACAGAAAATATTTTGGTTACTCTTGACTTTGGAATTTAAGCCTAACTCAACCCCAAAAGCTAGCTTGTAAGATGATGATTACTTCGGCCTTTATAAGCTCTCATTTAGCCATATTTATAGTCAATGTGAGACTTCAACAATTACAAATGTAAGAGTGAAGAGGAAAGTAAAGAGTAAAGGACAAGGTTTCAAGGCTCAGGTGATGGCAATTAAAGGTGAAAAATGAAGGAGCTTTCTATGAAGGGTTTTTGGAGGCACTAGGAAGTGTTAAGCATATGTGGGACAAGATGGTCAGGGATCAAGAAGCCAGGCATCTATAAGGTTAAATAATCTTGGTGGTGGGATGCAAGAATGCAAGATCAAGTTAAGGTTATAAAAGAATGTTATATGGTCCTTGTACAAAATGTTATCAAGAAAAGATGGAAGAATTACTCTCACAAGCCATTTAATAAAGGACACAAAACCTTACTACATTAGATAGGTTCAACACTGTAGATGAGGACCAGAATTATTACTTCTATCATAGAATTCAAGGGCCCAAGGTATAAGAAGCATTAAGAAGATGGATAATGACAGTATTTGAACTGGTTAATATATCTATTTAGTTATTGAAAGGTCTAGGTGAGCAAGATTTAGCTGGCTCTATAGTTATCAATCTCGTATAGTGGCTGGAGCCAAAAGTGCTATGGCAAAATAACACATAATAGGATGACTGCTATTAGAAATTTTATTTACAAATTATATAATTTATATGATGTGTATATAAATGCTAAAAATTTTATATTTAAAATTCATGACATATTCATAATTTAAAATAAGAAGTCACAGGTTTTAATTAAAATAGACAAGTAAATAACAATAAAAATGAAAGAGAAACTATATCCAATTGGGAATTTTAAATTCTCGAAGGGGGAGAGAATTATCAATGTTGCCAAAAAAAATCTCCCAAAACAATACTTTTTTGAGGGCAAAAATGACTTTTTGTAAAATTTCACTCTAGTGTTGCTACGGCCATTATTTAATAGTGCTTGGCTATTCAATTTTTGTAGTGGCCTATACCTGCTCCATCCCGTGATACTGCTATAGAACCACTACAGGTCGCCATTGATAACTGTGGCTGGATCACAAAGTTGTTTAACAAGATTATGAGGTCTAAGAAAATGTTGAACAAGTGGTGTAGAAACACTTCAATTTGTATTTGTAAGAATAAGGGAAATATACAAAATTGGGAAAATTGTAGCAGATTAAGCTCACGATCCATCTATGGTATGAAGCTATGGCAGAGGATTATTAATAGATTGATGGAATGATATCGTGGGAACAGAAAAGGATTATATATGGTGTTCATTGATTTGGAAAGTGTTCGATATAGTGCTAGGGGATGTATCGTGAAAGGCCTTAGAGAAAATAGGAGTTTATATTGCCTATATTCCAGCAAGCAAGGATATATATGTTAGGTAGGTAACTCCCATTTTTATTAGTTATGATATGTTAGTTAGGGGCTCTTACTAGTTAATTAGACTGAATTAGTTAGTTGTTAGGAAGGCTAAGATTGTAGAAGAAATAAAGCATATTGCCCTTATAATAAGAGGGAGGCAGAGCGAGGGAGAGATCATCAACGTCACTTGTGAAAGGATTAAGACCTTTAGGCATTGGGAGACAACAAGGTCTCTCATATACCCTAAGTTGTACTAGAGAATAATGCATATTTTGTCTCTTTTCTTTATCTATTTTCTCTATTACTTTCTCTATTTTGATCCAGTTCTATCAACTGGAATCAGAGCTCCGATCCTGGAGCTGTGGGTATCAAATTTTGAAGATGATTCCAAAATTTGTTGGAGAGCAACAAAGATTTGTTGTTATGCATATCTGAAGTAGTATTGGACCATTATCCACATATGCATTTTTATCAGTAAATGAAGAAAGCATGTAATCTCTATGCATTACCTCAATATGACTTGGGCTGCATTTTAGTGTCTTTAAAGTCCCTCTTTTCTGGCTTGTGGTGTGTTGTTTCTTTCTCCTGTTCTGTTGTACTGATCTAGTATTTTTATTTGTTGCAAAATCTTTTTTTGATGATGAACAGATAACCAAAACCTTTGTTTTTATAATGACCATCGTGCATTTACTTTCTATATCAGGAAATACATCTATGTTCTGATGTTATTTTCTTTTCTTGCAAATATTCTGCCAGGTATTAGAAGCACATGATGATGAAGTATGGTATGTACAATTTTCGCATAATGGGAAATATCTAGCTTCAGCGTCAAAGGATCGATCTGCAATCATTTGGGAGGTAATATCTAACATTGAAACATGCATTTTTTCTATTTTTATCATCAGATCCTTGCTTCACAGACCAATTGTAAATTTTTATTCATGTAAACATACACAAATAGCATATGACATGCACTGCTCCTTTTATGACTGCTATGGATATCATTATCTATCAGCATAATCCAAGTTCAATTGTGTACAGTTCTATCATACCTCGTTCTTTACTTTAGCAATGTATAATTCATGTTTAGAGCAAAACGCTAAGACTGAATGACATGTAAAGGTGGTAAACCATCTCAAAGAAGATGTTCGAGTTTTGGTTGTTAGATAGAGTGTAGTCTACTGGTACAGTGAAAGCCAGAGCACAGCACGGAAAAGATTTACCAATGTTGACATGTTAACTTCCATCTAAGGGAAACAAAGACAAGGAGAAACATGGATTTTTATGGTGATCACTGATCACTGTATATTTCTTTGGATCTGGTAGAAAGATAATAAAATCTTGTGGCAATGTGTTGATTATGAGATTTAATCATTTTTATGGTTGGGGAGGAATTCCTCCATCTTCATGGGCCTTTGTCACCTCTGAAATTGTCTTAGAAACATTTTGGGGAGAAACTTAGATGTTGAACTGGTAAAGGGATAATTATATTACTGACTGAAATGGAAATATTACAAGGAAGTAACCCTTGTAATCTGGGAGCCTAGCTCCTCAGAGAATGAATGCAAAGCACCTCTACCAGCTTACAGCTGTAACAAAATAACAGAAGGAAAAAACTGACTTTTCCTCCAAGGTCTACCTTCCTAAAAGGAGCCTTACACATGACAAGAGCCCTTTCCATAGCTAACTAACTGTGATAGCTCTCCCTACTAGTTTTGAGCATTTTCCTTCCTACCACTTCTATAGTATATACTTGCAAAATAGGCTCATGACTGAGTTTTACCACCCCATGTTGCTTCAATTGGTTTTTGAAACTCCTTGGTCCTAACATTTCTCTCTCTGTCAACTGAAGCCTTGTTCTCAAGGCTGACCTGAGGAAATTGATTGCATATGGTAAGGGCATCTTCCTACATAGCTTCTTCAATAGGTTAGCTACTTCATTGAATAATCCATTTAAGTTTTAAGTTTTCCAATCATTCTCTCAGACTCTGACCCTCCCTTAGCTCCAGACAACCCTTGGAACAAGTTGTACTCCATCTGTTGCCATTCCTCCATCATTCATTGGAAGTTTGGTTGCTTTTTGATTTGTCTTTGCCTTGCATTCACCCTACTATTTTACAGTAACTTCTAAAGAAGTTACACCAGCATCCATGGCTGTAACGCTGGCAAATCATCATTTGGGCATATACTCAGTGGCAATTAGAGACTGAGAATTTGAATGGTAATGTTATGTGTTATTTACTGAAATGGAAATATTACAAGTATTTCCCTATGTAATCCAGAGCCTAGCTCCTCCAGAGAAGGCAAAGCACCTATGCCCAGCTTACAGCCACAAGAAAGTAATAGAATACAAAACTCATACTCCAACCTCTACTTCCATGTAAGGAATCCTACATGTGATGGACCCCTTTCCAATAGCTAGCTAACTGTGACATCTCTCATCCTATTTTTTAGCATCTTCCTTGCTACACCTTGTACATACATGTCTTTTCCTGTTTTTTGTTGTCCTTTTTAAGCATTTCTTACCATGCTCCAACCTTATGCTAGGAACCATAGACAAGCCTAGTGGTGGTGGACAGTGGTATGCCAGTGATACAGCTCCTAGGCCAGACACACTGACTGGCAGCACTGGCCTAACTAAAATAGAAAAGCCCTTAATTTATTTCACTTTTACCCCTACGACCCTTTCATCACTTTACTCTTGAGTTCTGTAACGTCACTGATAGAGAGTTTAGCATTTTGTTTTGTGAGTCTGTTTGTTCAATGCCATTGAACCATTGATTAGTGATGTTGCCTTTTTTCTATCATTTTCTTGGTCAGTCTTATCTGTAGGGTAACTTCAAAAATGTTCTTTCAAGTTTTGGTTTTGACGTATTAAATTTTGAAGAAAAAGTAGCTATTTTGAAATCTTGCTTCATATCCTTGTCCCTTGTGTCCATATTATGATGATAATATATTAATTTTATAATTTATTATTATTATACAATATATCATAGTCTTTTCATGTCCTATATTTTTAAAATATTCTGTGTTGTCATGGCCATGTGGTGTTGTATGTATATCCTTGCTTCCGATTTTGTGTGTGTTGAATAAGAAGTGGATTTGAGGTAAAACTGTGTGGGTAGTCAGCCCATACAATTAGATCTTTCTACTAATTACATTATTACTTACAATACGAGTTAACCAACATAGCAGTAAATTGCTTAATTATAACACTCCCCTACAAGCAGGAGCTATTAAGCTTTCAATTTATTACAAACAAGCCCAACCTAATAATGGCAGCACAGTTAAACCTATGCAAGAATTTGGAGACAAAAGTAGGAATAAGATTAAATAGACCAAACACTAAGTCAAACAGGATATACGTTGCAACGGATGCACAGTCAAGCAGCCCTTGAAGTGGTGGAACCAAGGCACAAAGGACGGATTAGACCAGAAAAGGGCTGTTGATTACTTAGTTGAAGTTGCTTTCCAAAAAAATCAGCATTTCTGAAAATATTAAGTGCTAACCATACATGTCAGGATAACATTCCTGGTCACAGTGTTCTTGACTCTTGAGCATTAATCATATGCGATGAAAACAATGCCTCCTTAAGGAGTTTGGTTTTTCTAAATCCCTTAGAGTTACTCAATATATGTAATAAGCTTGGTGCATATGATACATGCTTAGCTTAAGAGGTGTTATAAAATATGTAATTTGCTAATGTACAGCTGCAATTTTTGCTAAAAGAACTTGTTTGATTCAACTTATTTTGAAGAATGAATCTTTTTCTTTTATTTTTTATGTGGCTTTGAGAGAGGGATGAACAAATAAAGCAATTATTTCCAAATATTTTACCTGAAACAATTATTTAAATATTATTCTGCTGTGAAACTTTGCACCCCCTTATTCCAGCCGAATGCTCTTTGAAAGTTAATTCCGCTCTGCCTCTATATAGATTACTGTTTTGGGTTATTTTATTAATGACGACTCTGCCATTACTTGACCGAGTGATCTGCTGATAGGAATTAGGTTTTTAGGTGCTTCATGCATTTGTGATATGTCCTGCTTCTGTAAAAATTGGTCAATGTACTCTCATGCACACATGAAATGTTACCTAATGTCATGGCATCAGGTTTCACATTTTTGCTTTTTGGTTTTTCTTTTGATAGGTAGACGTGGATGGTGGACTGTCTATCAAGCATAAATTGTCTGGTCACCAGAAAGCCGTTTCTTCTGTTTCATGGAGTCCAAATGACCAAGAGCTCCTCACATGTGGGGTGGAGGAGGCTGTTAGGTGCTGGGATGTCTCCACTGGTAAGTGCCTGCAAGTTTATGAAAAAGCTGGTCCTGGCCTGGTCTCCTGTGCATGGTTTCCAAGTGGGAAATATATACTTTCTGGCCTTAGTGACAAGAGCATTTGCATGTGGGAGTTAGATGGGAAAGAAGTGGAGTCTTGGAAAGGACAAAGAACCCTTAAGATCTCTGATTTGGAAATCACAAGTGATGGGGAACATATTCTCAGTATTTGTAAGGACAATGTAATACTGTTGTTCAACAAAGAAGCGAAGGATGAGAGATATATTGAAGAGGACCAGACAATAACTTCCTTCTCTTTGTCAAAGGATAGCACACTCTTGCTGGTTAATCTTTTGAACCAAGAAATACATCTTTGGAATATAGAAGGTGATCCTAAACTTATTGGCAAGTTCAAGAGTCATAAACGCACCCGGTTTATTATCAGATCTTGCTTTGGGGGACTCGAGCAATCTTTTATTGCTAGTGGAAGTGAGGATTCGCAGGTATTAATCTCAAATTCCCAGAATACTAATACATCATTTTTATTTTTGGTTTGAGATTGTCCTGGTTGTACATGGTTGATTTTCATTTTTCGCAATCATTTTTAGTACTACTGCGAAAAATGTCAACAGAAGCCAATTTGAGTTTAATGGATGTGTCTTTGTAGGTTTACATATGGCACAGAAGCTCAGGGGATCTAATAGAGGCATTGCCTGGTCATTCTGGTGCTGTTAACTGTGTGAGTTGGAACCCAGCTAACCCTCACATGTTAGCCTCTGCCAGTGATGACCGGACAATTAGGATATGGGGCTTGAAGCGCCTGAATTTAAAGTATCCAAATGCACACAGCAATGGCATTCATCACTGCAATGGGGAAGAACTTAGATGAACTCAAACTATTTTCATTTCATTTCTTTCTTTTATCATTGCAATTGTGTAAATACCTTCACTATCACCACAAGTAGACATTCATACCAAACATGCATGTGACTTCTCATCGATCTCAAAATAAATTCTTGTTTCATTTAAGCGTTTATTTATCTTTTTGTCCTTGGTTTTATTAATTGATTCTCGTGTGTTTTACTTCCAGCAGCAGATTCAATGACTAGGCTATTGTTAGTTGTTTTATTTTTTGGAAAATTGCTTTCATGGGCTGGCATGCAAATGTTTTATCGGAAAATATTGGCAATACACTTTTTAACATTATTTTTAACAACAAAATTTATTAAAAATTACAAAAATATTAGAAAAATATATAAAATTAGGAATGAAATAAAGTGAGATTTATATTATTTTAATAAATTTTATTTAATAATTAAGAATGTTAAAAAGAGTGTCGTTAGTTTTTTCTAACCTTGTTTTTGTTTTTTCAATTATGATTAATATACAATTTTAATCTTTTAATATAATAAATTTTTTAATTATTATAATTAACTTCAATGTGGATAATAGTAGACTTAAGATAGATGTGGAATAGGAAATTATTTTGGAATGTTTAAAAGCATGAAATGTAATAAGATTTAGTGTGTATTTAAGTATATGATTTTCATCTAAAATTTTATAATTTAAATGTGATCTTAATATGTATTAAAATATTAAAAATTTTCTTTTAGAGTCATAAATTATTTGAATTAGTTTTTCATAAATTCTTTCTAATCTTACTTAAAAGAACAGTATAAGAAATTATCATGTATATGGGAATGTTGAAATAGAACCTATGGCCAGAAAGAACTGTCAACATGTAAATTTTTTTTTTGACATTTTGATAAATAATTTTAAAAATACATGTTTTGTCAAAAAAAAAAAACTTTTAAAAATATTAAACCGTAGGTGTTAACTAATTGTGCAAAGTATTTTCAATTTTCGCTATTTATAATTTTGTTGGAGTATGTTGTCTCTCCTAATCCTGAGAAGTTGATATGGTATCTTAAAAAAATTATCTTATGGTATCTTGAAAATATTCTTACTATAATTTTAATATTTATTCTTACATATAATGTAATCTTAGATTTGGTAAAAATTATATGGTAAAAAAATGATAAAAAGGAAAGATAGAATAAATATAAGATGTGATATGGTTGATATATATTAGAATAGTAAAACAGAAAATATTATATTATTATTCTTAATATTTGAGATAAATAAAAATAATAGAATAAGATATAAATTACATTTAAATACAAAATTACTCTTTTATCAAAATTCATATAACTTTTAAAAATAAATGTTTATTGAACTTTTTACTTGTCAATATATATATATATATATATATATATATATATATATTGTTTTAAAATATTTTTATGGAAATATAATACTAAAATTTGATATTAAATTATAATAATTTTATTTAAATTTTTTACAATTGATTTTTTTGAGGAAAGAAATCATAGTTAGAACAAAAAGATTATAAAAAGTTTTAAAATATATTTTATTAAATGATTAGAATATATTTTACAAATCTTGTTTTTTAAATATTTTTTCTTAAAAAATATATATTTTGAAAAAAATATTTTTATATAAAATACTCATATAATTTTTATATAAAAATATAAATATATTTTTTGAAATAATTATTATTTATAAAATATTAAAAAAAGTATAAAGTATGAGTGAGAATGTAATAGAAAAAAAGTTATAATTTTATAATTTCTAACTTTCGGCAAGATAAAACTATCCATCAACAAATATTTAAAATAAGATAAGATAGAATGATAGCACTATTTCTATTTTTAACTTAGCAAACAATGGATAAATAATTTACCAAGGTTGCATTTATCTTCACCTCTTGTTGGTGGAGATGCTTGGTTCTTTAATTAAATGTGGTTGATTGTGTATGTTGTTTATGAATGATTGTTCTAGATTTTCAATGGAGTTGTTTAAGCGCATGGGGTTTTGAGTTTTATGTTTAGGATGATGTTACGTAACATGACTACATGAGGAGTTAGAAAAAATGAAAATGAAAATGAAAATGAAAATGAAGTGAGGGAGAGTTAGTGAGATGTCTCCCTCACTTGTTTGAGAGGGGTAAGGAATAGTGAGATTTCTCCATTTCAAATTGATCCAAGGGTGGAGATGAGTGCATCCTTTGTAAACCATCCATTTGCCCTCTTCTAAATTCTTAAATTAATGAATTTCTTTCAAAAATCTAATTAGCTTAAAGTGGGTTTAGTGAACTAATCTCAAATTCAGATTTTTGGACACAAAATCAGTCTAAAATACCCAAAAACTCAACGTATCTCCCACAAAATTTTAAAAATTAGTAGTTACTAATAAGATAAAATAGATAAATAAATACAAGTAAAGTCTAATTAATTTATTTAAGCTATGCTTAAATTAAAATTTTCTTTGATTGAGTTTGAGAAATTAAAATTTTATGACTTCTCTCATGGTCTAGTTCACATGTGTGGAGGTGTGTTCATATTTAAAAAAATTTAAATGTATCAAAATCATCTAAAATAAAATAATATCTTAGTGTTTTTATGTATGGCAAAAATCTTTTGGAACATAAAAACTTGTTTTGTAAACATTTTTAACTTACTATATATACACGTTTATTTTATTTTATTACATAAAATAACTATTACTTGATTTAAATTTTGTTAGGTTAAAATATTAAATATTTTATGTTAAATAGACAATCAAATATATATTTTGATGACTCAACTAAATACTTATTTATTTGTGCGTATGAAATAAATATTATTTAATTTAAAATAAGACATAGTTAAGTATACATATAAGACCAAAATTAAAATATTTAATATGTATTATTAATTTATAAAATATGAGAGTGTTACACTCAACATCAAATATATGTTTTTAAAATGCATGAATAGAATGAAATCCAGGAATATACCAAATGATAACACAAGAAGAAAGAATGGTGTAACATTTTATTTCAAGTGATACACACATAAACATAAAGTTTTAGGGAGAGAGAATGGTGTCATAATCTAAGTAAAAAAAAATTAAACTTAAAAAATATATACATGATTTACGTATATTTCATTCTAAAAAAATAAGTGAATTATAACATATTAATTATTAAATATAGTATTTTATCTTATTCTAATAAATCAATATATGTTTTGATTGGTTGGTTTCCAACAAATAAAAAAAAGAACTAAAAATGGGTTAAACAATTCAATTTAAAAATTTTAAGAAATATAAATCTATATGTTAGAATAATAGATACTAATAGAAGAATTTAATTGTAATGATAAAAAAAATAGAGGTTAAATTTAAATAAAATTTTATTGGCTTAAAAAAAAATTTTCAAAAATTTTACATTTTTTAAATTGAAATTTCATTTCTAATTTAAAAAAAAAAATTTAAAAATTCTTTTTCATTCTCTTTGTCTCTCTTATTTCATTCTCACCTTACTTTGACTAGTGTTAACAATAGAACAAATTTATCTTTTCTTAAAAGTATCTAACTTATAAATAGAAAGATGTACTGCGAGTATTAACACCTCCAAATTTGAACTTAATTAAAGTTAATTTTTTTCGTTAAATTTGAGTCAAGTAACACAAGTTTCCACAAGTTTAAGTTTCATTATCCTCTCTATACTTTACTTATATTATTTGACATAAGTTTCAATTGACATGATAAACTATATTTATCATTACTCGTGATTTTTTCAAATCTCAACTTAAAAAATCTTAACACTTTCCAAATCCTTAATCCCAAAAGTCTCTTTTTAGCTCCGCTTCACCCTCCATTTTGTCATATTTATCCTCATTATCTTCTTTATCCCTTGCTTATTTGGAGCATTCACAAGGCATCACGTGATGACCTACAACTTGGCCCCAAGCGTTGGTGTTAGGGTGCTTGCACTTGGTAAATGGAAGCAAGTGCATACATATATTGATTGTTAAGTGTAGTTTGGGCTCTGATGTCTACATTGGTAACAACCTCATAATCTTTTATGCCTCTTCCAAAAACATTTTGGAGGTATTATTGAATAAAATGCCTTAGAAGGCACTTCTTTCTTGGAACTCAATGATAACTGCTTGTGTATAGAATCATAAGTTGCATGATGGGCATTTTTGGTATGATAAGTTCTATGTTTGATTTGGAAGAGACTTTCGTGATGTTACTGTATTCTAATCCAAATACTAATCCTGACCAAACTATTAGAGGTAGTAGTTCAAAACTAATGACAAGAGAATGCTAGACAAATCAATGTTATATAAGAAAGATACCATGGGAAACACAATGAAGGATTTAGTACCAACTTTATTTTACATGAAATCATTGTTTTTTCGAGATGTAATATGCTATTTGCTATTTAGTACATCATAGTTAGCTATGAAAATTTCGCTCTAGAACTGGAATGTGCTCAACTTATATATTTTAGAATTGGAATGACATTTTGCTATGCTTCACATACTTGAACTCAACATTCGGCTTGTCGATGCATGTTTTTCATTCAGCGTTTAGGATACAAAACATGTTTGTATCTTATCAAAGACTATACAACAAAGAGTGCAAAACAAAATCACAAATCAGAGCTCAAGCAACTTTCTATTCATTAAGTTTTATCCGAATGATTACATCAATGTCGCCTAACAGAGTGATACATTGATCACCTAAAAGCTACATATCACCTAACTTCATACATTGATTACAACTAAAAATGTAGAATGATACGTTTCAAACCTGATAATCTCAAAAAATAAAATACAAAAAAAAAAAAATTCCATCATGTAACCTAAGACTCTCACGTTGAGAATCGAAATCCAAGAAACAAGGGTTCTCTCGAGCATTTTCTTGCAAGTAATAAAAGTTGATGGGGCCATCAACTAACTTTCCGATAATTTCTAGACCAAAAGATAAAACAGTTAATTAACCATGGGCAGTGGTAGCAGCAATAAAAAAAATTTAGTGTCTTGTTTCATTTAATAGGCATCAATCTTGGAACACTACAGGAAATACACTGAAATATCAGGACTTAAAAGTAGGTTCTATCACATATGCAGAAATGAACCATATACAAACAACAAAGGGGCTAGAAAAGAAACAATATATCAATGTATTGCCTGAAAGAAGTAGAAATTCTGAAAAATATAGTATAAAAAATGTTATATATTACCAAGATAATTTCATCAATTGCAGCAAGCAGACTTCACTTCAAATTCAAAACTAACTCACAAAGAAATCCCTCATCATTGACAGTCACTGAAATTCTCTAAAAGACACCTTCAAATTCAACACGCATGTAAAACCAACATGTAAGCGATAAGAAATGGAACTCTCATCAGTAGAGCTCAAAATAAAAAATCCAGTTTCAGTTACTTGATTCACATGAAGAACATAAGTGTGGAAATGAAATGCATTGCCTTAACCTTGTCCCTTGATTCCACAGTGAGGTAGAGTTTATCCTCACCAACAGTGCAATATGTTTCTGATCATCTTGCTCTGGCAACAGCGACCTCTAGGGTTCAAAGCCAGCTAGGTCCCAGCTCCAGCTGTTCCTTTGGTCCACCATTGCAGTTGCCAACAAACCACCAAACTCTTGCATATTTCCACTCTCACTCCTTCAAAATTGTAAATGAAGAACGACGATCTTGTCTGTAAGATCTATGTTGTGGTCATATGCAGAGAGAGAGAGAGAGAGAGAGAGAGGGAGGAAGAACTATTTTGAACAAAAATGATGAACTGTCTTCAGTAAATTTGAATTTGGATGATAAAGAGGAAAACGATGACAGAAGTTAAACTTAAAACAGCTTCTCTCAGAAGCATTTAATAGAATAGGGGAAAAAATGAATAAGGTATTGAGCAGGAATTGAATTCATAAGCACTTGACATAGATTTATTACTATTATTGATTATTGATTAGTAAAGAAAAAATAAGCAGTATGAAATTAAGAATCATTACATATGCCACAAATTTAATTTCCTATATTCAAGAATATAATGTATTGTGCAAACTTTAGTTGTTTGACATTCAACCTTTTTTCTGTAGTTAAATGGCATTTGAGAGACAGAGAAAGGGCTCTCTGTTTTTTCTAGGACGTGTGTGAGCGCACGCTTTAAACAAACAAAATTCTGATGAATGAACACATGAATAATGCACATTTTCTTACATATGCAATGAATGGTAGCTTCCTTAATCCATTGAGTTGGTAATCCTAGATGAAATCTGCAATCAAGAAAAGGAAAGCCAAAGTTCCTTTGGGGTTCTTCCCTGGTCCATTTTGGATTTTGGTCAGAAAAATTTAAAGATCAGTTACTTGCTCGAAGGATCATTGTCTTAGGATCCTCATCATGTCCATCTCCCAAGCTTATCCTCTATTGCTAATTTGAAAACTAAAATCCCAGTGCTTCAAGTTTCAACATCAAAATGATACATAAATGGTTTAGACTCATCTTCGATGTGACTAGTGAGATGTGAAAGGTATTTATTAACCAATTCTAGATCCCAGTGTGAATTGTCTTCAACAAAGAAAGATTCGATCTTCTGGTTAATCTCAATCCAACTACACCCTGGATTCTTCCTTAATCCAAGCTCTTTCATCTTTGATCTCACCATCCGTACCTCATCCCATTTATGTGCAGAAGCATACATATTTGATAAGAGAATATAGGTTGATGGATCATCAGGATCCTTGTCAATAAGCATTCTTGCAATTTCAACCCCCAAATCGATGTTTCTGTGCAAACGACATGCAGAAAATAATGTGCTTAGCAATCCAACATCGTCCCTGATTTCAGGGTTTCTTTGCAGAATCTCATACGCTTCATGCAATCTTCCAGCACGTCCAAGAAGGTCAATCAAGCATGAATAATGTTCAACTCTAGGTATAATGCCATAAACATTGATCATTTGGTTGAAGAAATAGCACCCATCATCAACCAACCCAGAATGACCACAAGCAGATAATATGGCAAGAAAAGTAACTCTATCAGGTTTCACATTGGACTGCAGCATTTCAGCAAAAAGCTCCAAAGCTTTGTGGGCAAGACCATGAGACCCGTAAGCAGTAATCATGGAGGTCCAGGACACAAGATCTCTTTCTGGCAAACATTTGAAAACATCAAATGCTTTGTATACAGCACCACACTTAGAATACATATCAAGGAGAGCTCCCATAACCACCTCAGTACTATCCAAATTTCGCTCAATAATCAGATTGTGAATCTCTTTGCCTTTTTCCAGTGCTGCTAGTTGTGAACAAGCTGCTAAAACACTGGTAAAAGTAACAGCATCCGGTTCAACATATGATTTTCTCATTTCACTAAAGAGGCTAAGGGCTTCAAAACATTTCCCTTCAGCCACATACCCAGATATCATAACATTCCAAGAAACTACCTTGGGCTTCGGTATTAATTTAAAGATGTTTTCAGCTAATGCTACCTTTCCACATTTGAAGTATAGATCCATGAGTGAGCAATTAATATAAACATCAGACTGTATTCTGTTCCGTATTATATATCCATGTACAAACTTCCCCTCTAGTACTCGGGCTGACCGTGAACAAACCATTATTAAACTGCTTAAAGTAATAAAAGTTGGCTTGACCCCCTCATTGTGCATCCTCTTAAAAAGTTGAATGCATGAAATGCTGTCACCTTTCAAACCATATCCTGAGATCATGGAATTCCAAGCAACAACTGTCTTTTTAGGTATTTGCTCAAAAACCTCTATGGCCATTTCTAAGTGACCACATTTTCCGTACATGTCAACAAGAGAAGAGCTAACGAAACTATCCAGCAGAAACCCTCTATTAATTAATTCCTTATGAATTTCCGTTCCCCTGTCCAAATCCAAAAGTCTAGCACAAGAGGAAATAGCAGTCGTGATTGTAACTGAATCAGGTTCAAATCCAGATCTTCTCATTACACCAAAATATTGTAGGGCCTCTTTGAACTTTCCGCTTTGGTAATAACAAGAAATCACTGTATTCCAGCATGCCACATCCTTTTCAGGCATTTCATTGAACATCTGTATAGCATACTCAAATGCATTGCACTTAGCATACATACCCACAAGTGAGCTTCCAACTACAATGTCCATCATTAAACCTGTTTTTATCAAACATGTATGAATCATTTTTCCCAAGACAAATCTACACAGTCCCCCACAAGCCTTAAGAACACTAGGGTAAGTATAACTATCAGGATTCAGGTAAGGATAATGTAACAATTTCTCAAAAAGCTCTAGGGCTTCCACATACATGTAATTCTTAGTATAACCAGCCATCAGGCCATTCCACAAGGATATCTCACATGGGTTTTCCATGGTATCGAAAACACACTTTGCATGATCATACAAGTGGCAAGAAATATATAGGCTGATCAGGTTCTTGCACAAGAAAATATCATTTTGCAAGCCAAAAGTTACAACTTTCTGATGAACAAGCTTGCCTTGCTTCAGTGACTTGGAATTCACACAGGCTCTCAAAAGAGGTAGTAGTTTTCTTGTGTCCATTCAGCAATAACTAGAGAGACACTACAGAAACCGCAATAATCAATCTAAAGCATTGGAACAAAACAAATAGCTAAAATCACAAATGCAATCAACAAATGCAAAAGGTGACAGAATCAATCGGTGGAACTTGGAACAAAAAATGGGGTAGAACACACGCAGTGCCATTAAAGCATAAAACGTGCTGAAAGTTAGAACCCTTTAATCAATGTCATATTCATGTCACTGTAACTAAAAAAGGGTTCACCCCCATTTTCAAAATTTGGGGTTTTCAGTTGGAAATTTTCAAGCTTTCAAATTGGGTTCAGATAATTGGATATGAAAGCAAGATTGTGAAACGGTTAATTTGGTTTCTGCTGCAAAAATTTCGTTACTGCATTTAAAAGTGTAACAATTGAAAAGGTTGTGATCATAACGTTTCAAGCCACCGGCTTCAACTTAAGTTGCAGCCTTAAGCAGTGAGGTGGTGACGGCGAAAATGTACCGGCGGCGGCGAAATGACGACGCAGTCTCTGTTAGGGTTTTCGGGAGATTGCATTTGGGAGAAAAGGCAACGAAGAATCTGCTAGGGACGGCGATTGAAATTCTGAAATTTTTAAGAGGTTATTTCTGTCTAATAAAATTGTTAAGGTTAGCTTTCCAAAATGCCAAATTTTTATTTATTTTTTCAATTTAGTTTTATAAAATTACTTTTCATTTTTTAAAGAATTTATCATCACGATTTTATAAATAAAGAGGTTATTTATTTCTGTTAGGGTTGGAAGGCTATTTGCTGATAAATAAAGAAAAGTAACAAGACAGTTTTATACCCAATATGGTCAAGTTTATGGGGCATATGGATTGGTCCAATATACTCCATAAACTTGTTTTTAAAAGCTTTACTAATTGAAGTTTGTGTGTTTTTAGAAAAGTATCTTCATGTTTGAGCAACAATCAAATTTGGTTATTTTTGTGCACAAAACCTTAAAATTGATGCAAACTAATGCCTTCCAATTTATTAGCCAATTTAGCAGAAATTTTAGTCAAGTTAGGAATGTGGTGGGTTGGGCAAGGGATGAGTTGAGTAGATTGTTAAAGTAAGTTTGGACTGAAAATGCATAGACATGTAAAAAAAATATTAACAAGAAAAAAGAAAATAATTTTGGAAGGTGAAGATGGTAACCAAGTAATTAAAAAAAATACACATAATTAAATATAATATATTAGAAAAATACATATTATATATATACATATATATTTATATTATGACACTAGTGAATAAAATCACTGCAGTCACTAATACAGTGGAGTTTATCACAGTATATTATCATATAACAAACTCTTGATAGATTATTTAAAAAACAGAGCGGTTATCAAAGAATTGATAAAATTGATCTTTTTTGACTCCTTCAAGATTGTGATATAATATATTATTTATTTTTAATTTTTTTGAAAATTTTAAAATTTAATAACAAATAAAAAAGTTGAAGGCAAAACAAGTTATTTTTGTAAAATTAACTTTTTAATAAATTCAAAAAAATAAAATATGTTGATAAATTGAAATTACCAAAATTAACTTCTCATATATATTAAAAAGTTAATATTTTAAAACCAACTTGCCAATATATTTTCAATTTGATGGTTTTAAAAATTATTTTTCGTAAAGATAATTTTGAAATACAAAATTTAAAAGTATAATAATAATAATATGAAAAAGAAGCCCCAACACTATATTGAACTCTGGTTTTTTTACGATAAATTGAATTGGACTTGGATTCATAGTATACAAAACCTCGCGGAAGCCGCACGCCGTCGAAGCTAGTCGGGAGTCGCGGATTCTTTTCTATTACTTGTTGTGTTCTGTGCTTCGTTCTTCTTCTTCCTTTGGATTTAGATTTTGCTGTTATGGCGAACATCGACGAGGCTGGGCCTTCTCAGCAGCTTCCTAATTCCTTCGACAATGAACCCTCGGAGGCTCTCATGGAAAAGACTTCGAAGATATTGAACCATTTTGTTGCCTCCAAGGATCAAGGTTTTTTATTTTTCTATTTTGTTTTCTAATATAATGTACTCACTCGCTTTGATTCTACTTAACTCCCTTAGTTAACTCCGAATTATAATTGCCATTCGATTTATTTGTTCAAACAACAATAACGACGTGTTATTGTTATTCCGCTGATTCAATATTTTATTGATAATTAATTAACATGATTGCTGCTTTTTTCTTTTTTCGTGTTTGTTTGTACACTTCTTCTTAAGGGTGGTGATATTGGTTGCATTGTATCTATTTTGGGGACGTTTGAAAGAGCTTATTACTCCTTTTAGCTTACTTCAACAAGTTTCTTGATATAGCTTATTAAAATAAGCTCTTTTCAGCTTATTCTAAATAGTTTTATGGTCAAATTTATGGTAGGGTATCGCTTACGTAGAAAGAGCTTATTGAGTAATCACTTAATGAAGTTGTGTACCCTAATGGACTCTGTGTGTGTGTTTGTGCTTTAGCTTGAATGTTATTAAGGGTGATTATATTGCTTGTTAGTAATATGTATATGTATATGTTATATGTTACGTGTTTATGATTTGCAGTGTACAAATTTGATGGTAACTTGTCTGGTGAAGAACGGTCAGCAGTGGATCGATTATGCCACCTTATGGGGTTAGGTGTAAGATTTTGTGGGTAAGTACTAATTGCAGCATGTAAAAAAATTTCCCTTTCATTATTTATAAATGACATGTAGTCTGTGGTCTGGAAAGGAGTGGTTGTTGATTTAACGTGTTTTCTTCAGTTTCACATTTTGGTTTCTTGATGATGAGTATGTGTTTTGTGTAGAACAGGGGATGAACTGAAAATATGTGTTTACAAAGTGGAGAACGGGGCCCCAGATCAGGTATTGGGATGTGGCTCTTTCAGATTTGAGTCTATTTTTTACTATTCTTGTATACACTTGGTTCATGATCCCTGGGGATCTTTATCGATTTTGTTTAGGTTCAGGTTATCACGTCAAGGAAAAGGAAGAGGAGAGAGGAGCCAGAGTCATGTAGCCATAGGAAAGCAATTAATGTTGAGTTCAACAGGATCTCCCAAGCATTAGAAAATTTTTTAGCTTCAAATAATGAAGGTGAGATTTATCTGGAGTACCCATGAATCATTTCTCTGTTTCATGTGGAAAATGTTATATGGGCTGCATTTGTTTTTGAAGAAATACATTTTTTATAGTTCATTTGTCTTTTTCTTAAATATTTTCTTTTAGGGGTGTTTGTTTCAAGGTATATGATTACATTCCCTGGACTGACAATCCTAGGAATACTATGAGCTAGAATTCTATTTCTTGGTAAATTCAAAATGTGTTTTGTTAGAAATTAGAATTTAGTATTTCTGTGAATATTTAACACAATTTAGATGATAAGTGGAAAAAGTAGGAGTGTGCAAGGAAATAGTAATTGTGTTACAAGATAACATCCAATATTTCCTTGGAGAAAGTGCATTGCCATCCCTTACTAATTACTATGAGATTAAAACTAAACAGAATGTGGGAATGCCACTTTCTTGTGAATGAACAATGAGAATGTCATATTCTCATGTTCAGTTTACTGGTAATAGCTTGAGAATCTTTGGCACAAACACAACCTTGGGTGTCTAAATTGGGTATCCATTTGGGCTAGTTGGTGTTGTTAAATTTCAAATTTTTTGCCTAGTCGGCTAGTCCATAAGGACTCATGGACACTGGAAACCATAGAAGGATGTTATATAGCTTATATTATTTTGTGTTGCATATGTGCATTGTATATATTATCATTATTCATCATTCATGATCTGGGTTTTTTTTTTTTTTGCAGTGTACAATTTTGAAACTAAATTGTCGCATCAAGAATGTCAATTAGTGTCCCAATTATGTGAAAAAATGGGTTTTAAATATACACTTTCTTGGTGAGTGCTAAGTTGAGTAAATAAAATTCCTTTTTAAATCTCCAAGACTTCATATTCACATGTCTGGGATGGAACTGTTGCTAAAGCAATGTGTTTTTCTTCAGTTTCACATTTTTTTTAATATTTAATCTGCATTTTGTGTAGGCATGGGATTAAACAGCAAGTATCTATCCGCAAAACAAAAAAAGTGGTTGACAACACTACTTTGTCTGAGATTCTTCCTCATGTCACATGTTCTGAAGTATCAGATCAGGTATTGGGATGCGGCTCTTTTGGCTTCTAGTCTTTTAAGTTTTCTCGCATTTATTTGATTCCTTGTGCCAGAGAATATACTTCTACTCTATTTTGATTCAGGGTGACATGTTGAAGAACTCTCAAAAGGAAGAGGAGCCAGAGCCACCTCAGCATCAGGATAACATTGATATTGAATCCAAAAGGGCTCTGTTTTCCCAGATATTGGAAAAATTTTTAGCATCAGAAGATAAAGGTTTCACACATTTACTTTGCCCATGATTTTGTTTGTAATTTTTTGTTGTTCATTTTATGCTGAAATATGACATGGGCTTCATTTGTTTTTACTAAGAAAAACTGTTATTCTGGTTTGTTGGTCCTTTTGCAAATATTTCCTGTTAGTTTAGTATTTTATATAGATTGGGTATTTAACCATTTTGACTAGTCAAGAAACTTTGAATTCTTTTGGCTAGTTTGTGAGGGCTCATGGTCACAAAATCTTTGAAGGATGATTATGTTGCTTGCATAAATTTGTATTGTATAACTTTTAGCTTATGCGGCTTTTAAATGTGTCCACTCATGATTTGGAGGTCAACTGCAGTGTACAATTTTGAAGATGAATTGTCCACTAAAGAACGTGCCCTAGTGGTGAAATTATCCCAAAAAATGGGGCTTAATTGGAGATTTTCTGGGTGAGTTCTTAGTGAAGCACAGATTAATTTCTATTTTAAATCTTTAAGAATTAGTCTCATGCCTGGATTGGAGCTTTCAATGTTGTTTTCCTGATATTAAACCTGCATTTTGTGCAGGCGTGGGATTAGAAAGAAAGCATCTGTTCACAAAACCAAAAAGGAGGTTGACACCACTAAGGTGTTGGAGGGTCTTCCTCATGCCACATTTTTCTGAAGATTCAAATATGCCACAATTTGTGTATTCTTGTATAGACTTGTTTCACTCTATATGTCCCACTTTCTTTTGATTCATGTTGACATGTTGGTGAAAATGCAGAAACAAAAGAAGCTAGGGCCACCTCAGCCTAAAAAATTGAAAAGGACTCAGATTTTCCAGGCGTTAGAAAATTTTTTAGCATCAAAAGATGAAGGTTTGGCTAACTTAGCATACACATGGAGTTTATTTTGCATTTTTTAATTGTTTATAACTTCATATGGAAATATGATATGGGCTTTTTTTTTTTCCTTTTTTTTCTGAAAAGAACAGTTAGTATGATTCAGTGGTTTTTTTTCTAAACCTTCCTGGTAAATTGGGTGCTTTATTTGAATTGAGTTGGATTTTGGCTTCTTGCTAAATTTGAAATTTTGAACTTTCTGGTTAGTTTATAAAGGCTCGTAGACATTGAAAATCTTCAACAGATGATTATATAGCTGATATCAGTTTGCATGGCTTATGCGGGTTGTGTATTTGTAACAGTCTCAGAATATTATTTTTGTCTGCAGTGTACAAATTTGAAGCTAACTTGTCTCCTGAAGAATGTGTTGCAGTGAATCAATTATCCCAGAAAATGGGGCTTAGAGTTGAAAATTCAGGGTAATTGCTAACTGCCAAGTATAACTCATAAAATTGAATACAAAATTTCCTTTTTAATTGTGTAATAAGTATTGTACATGTCTTGAGTGGAGTAGTTACTATGTGTTTTTATTGGCTCTTACATATTGCTTTCTTGATATTGAACTTGTACATGTCTAGGAGTTGGATTAAACACAAAGTATCTGTTCACAAAATAAAAGAGGAGATTCATGCCACTACCGAGTCAGAGAATCTTCCTTGTTTCACATTTTCTGAAGAATCAAAGAAAGTGTTATGTGGTTCATCACCTTGTTATGAACATCGGGGAGAGATGATTGGAAAATATGGTGATACTACTTACAGCACAGAATCAAAGGAAGATGATATTTTCAGCAGGCCTTGTATGAGCAAACATGAAATTACTAAGAAATTGGAGAACCTTTCTGCCAAAATGAAGAACCTCCCTGACTTGAAACTGGTTCATTTTTTTTCACTTGTTTTACACTGCATAGACCTTAGATATGAATTTTGTTTGATTCTATCATATTATTACTCATCTTCTGTATATGTAACATGGTATTAAATGATAAAATTTTCTTTCCGTTCATGCAGATCAGTGAGAAGAAATCTAAGCTTCCAATTGCATCCTTCAAAGGTGTCATTACATCAACTGTTGAATCTCACCAGGTTAATTTAATGTTTTTATGCTAAACATTTTCTCTGGATATGCATCTTCTTTGTAACTTGGTTGCATATTGCAACGCAACATAGTAACGCTTATTTGATATTTCACTTAAATGTTAAGTATTTCAAACATTTTTAGGTTATTATTTTCGTTTACCCATAGAAATATAACAATTTATTTGGATTTGAAGATTTAGTGTTTACATGTTTTTTAGTCTTACTATTCTTTTCAACATGGTTCAAAGCAGGTGGTTATCATATGTGGTGAGACCGGTTGTGGGAAGACCACTCAGGTTACTAATTATTTGCTTTGTCTTTATTATGTGGTTTGTACTTTGTATTATGAAATATCACTTTGGAGAAAATACAACTTGTCTTGGGTGAAGGATTATTGTTTAAGAATCTTTTTTTTTGCTTGATGTAATATGTTCTTAATTTTTTGTGACCTTGTGAAATATTTTTCTTTCTTTTTGCCAATGCCTTGTTTAACACATCATTAAATATGTTCAGGTCCCACAATATATTTTGGATCATATGTGGGGTAACGGTGAGGTCTGCAAAATAGTTTGTGCTCAGCCTAGACGGATCTATGTAACTTCAGGTGTACAACTTTTCCATCCTTAATTTTCTGACTTCTCAATTTTCTCTTTTTATTCTATATTGAAACATGTTTTTTTTCCCTGTTTGTCTGTCTAGTTAGTGAGAGAATCTCCACTGAGAGAGGAGAGAATATTGGACAGAGTGTTGGATACAAGGTAATTTTGTTGGCTTAACTAAATTTTTGGCCCCTAAAATATTTTTGATTATTTTATTTGGTTCTTTATTTTAATTTTTTTCTAAGCAAGTCCTTCATTATATCCTTGTATATATCATGACTTACCCTCTTCTAAAATGATGAACTAAATGGAAAGACCAATGATATTTAGAGAGACCAAATGAGAAAAACAAATGAAATGGACCATTTTGTAACAAAAAGCATTTTATGGTGGACTCATTTACAAAAAATTGAAAAAATGAAGGGGCAAATTAAAAAATTGTGAATTTTTGAGGAACCAAAAACTTAATAAAGCCTCTTTTTTTTATATGTATCTTTGTTAGTATAGGTTTTGCTATCCCTTTTATTTTGGAATTGGATGACCTATGATGAGATGTTTATTTGAACCTTTGACTTTGTCCTTGTTATTGTGTGTCAGCATAGCTCACTTAACTGTCTAGGCTCTGGAAGTTTTTGTTGTAACTACTGTTTGTTTACTAACAGAATGTGTCAGTTGTTCAGCTAGCATTAGTCAGACTATATAACATCTAATTGTAACATTCAGACCTATCAATTTAATAGACTGAGATTTAATCTCTTTGCTCTGCTCTTTTCCATTCTCTCTTTATCTGGTTCAGATTTCAACATTGTCATGGGGGCACAAAATAATTCTACCACTTGGTCATATTGATGCAATCTTAGATGGTATTCTCAAGGACTACAATGCTATTTTTACCTCAACCACTCGTCAAATTGAACCATACTCTGGAATGAGCTTGCTCATGATTTTGTCTCAAAAGGAATTGATAGTTGTATTGAACCATACTCTGGTCATGATGCACTCAAGCTATAACAGATTTGATCTGGCCTACATTCCATATAAGAATCTTCATTCCAGTACTACACTAATGGTGCTACCATACCTTCGCCATGAGTGTGTACAGCCAACATGTGTAAGAATTGATTTAGATAAAGGAGAAAAGCCATGAAAATAGGAGTTGGTCCTGTTGCTCCCATTGAAGATATTCTTTGATTTTTCCAATGTAAGCGATGTGTCTTGATCATGGTAGTCAAAATTGCTTGCTAACTCATAAAATCGTGCTCGGTTGCAAGATTGAAAAACAGTGAGATTGGGTGGGATTGTCATGCAGAATTGTAAAACTGGTAAGCACGGTCAATCCCACCATGTTTAAAAACTCAATTTTATCTAGTGACCCATGACCCATTTTGTGACCCAGTTTGCTAAAAAAAACCTATTGAAACCCTAAAATCAATTCAGAACTTGCTTTCCTTTTGGTTTCCTCTGCTCTTTGATTTTGTTTGACTTCACACGACAACCTTGTTTTGCTCTGGTGACTCTGCTCTGGCGACCTTGACTGCTCCAGCATTTTCGTTCTGCTGCCCAACCTCTTCTCTGCTGTGTGATCTCTGTTCCACTGCCATACCTCTATTTAGTAAAACAGAGACTTTTTCTCTTCTAAAAAATAAACTGACTTTCCTTTTTTGCCCTTAAAATGACCATACCTCACCTAACCTATCTTCCTTCTCCCCTTCTCTATTCATGCTCCCTTCTCTAATGTCCATCTCTGTCTCTGTTTTTAGTGGGCATGTCTCTGTCCCTGTTTTGAGGGTGGCTCCCTTCCCTCATCTGTCTCTGTTTTGCTTCCCTCATTCATACTTATACTATTTTATATGGATACAATCAATTTGTAGGATCTTACAAACCGTGTTACCATTTTACAAGTTACAATGTTTGACTCCTTTAATCTTACGTAGAATCTTGATTTTGACTACCATGGCCTTGATGACAGCCTCTACTTGTTGTTTCTAGAGAATATTGTTTTTCTCATCAAGGCGAATAGAGAATGTGAACAGGTTATCAGCAGAAGTCTCAACATACTTGAGTTTGAGGGGATGCTGTTATTTGATCTGATAGCAGATATTCTGACTAAAGCTATGGTGTATAAGATTCTACTCTCTTAGATGCAAACTTCAAGTTGTTGGCTAATTTTCAATTACTCAACATACTTGAGTTTGAGGGGATGCTGTTAGTTTATGTCGACATAGCTCACTTAACTTACTAGGCTCTAGAAGTTCAGTTGTAACAAACTTTCTGTTTATTAAAAGAATGTGTTAGTTGTACTGCTAGGATCAGTCAGACTATATAACATCTATTTGTATCACTCAAACTAATCAATTCAATAGATTGAGATTTAAGTATATAAGGCTTTGTTAAATTTCTCATAAGAATCATTACACTAGACGCTGGTTTATGGTTTAGTCTCGACATAAAAAAATTCTAAATTTTAGTTCTTGCATAAAAGTATCTTAAAAAATTAGTATCTGCTGTTTGTAAACATTATTATGGTGTTAGAATATTTTTTGTAGGGACTAAATTGAAAAAAGGAATGGTAAGTGTGGTCCGTGGAGGCCAAACTAAAGAGTTTTCATGTAAGCACCATAACAAAGTGTAAATTTGTCTCATATAGGGACTAAAATGAAAAACACTGTTCAATATAGGGACTAAATCAAATACCTTTGAAACATCAGCAAATGACAAGTATAGCTTTGCATGGATAATTCACTACACAATGGTTTACACCAGTTACCTTCTTTCCTAGTATAGCTTTGCATGCAAATCCCAGGGTTTACACTTCATGTCGTATACTGTTTCTATTTTGGGATAAATTATACTGGCTGACATATGTTAAACAACAATCCAGATGCAGTTGGAAAGCAGAGGTGGAAGGCAATCATCAATTGTGCTGTGTACTACTGGAGTTCTATTGAAGTTTTTGGTTTCTAAAGGTTCTCATATCTTTAAGAGACAGTCTGCAAAGGATGACATTTCTAGCATTAGTCACATAATTATGGTACTTCATTAAAATTTACCATTTTATCATTAATTAGAGCCCCAACATTGTGCTTAATCTTCAGTAGATGCTTAGATGTTCTTGCTTCTATTGTGTTTGTTATCTTTTAGTTATTAGGATGGCCACAAACAATTTCTTATTAAGTATGAATAATTCCTCCGATGTATTTATAAATTGAAACATCAAATCTGGCTAGGTAGACCTGCTAGTGTCCTGGACATTATTTTTAGAAAATCATGCTTGAATAAATCAGCAGAGATGTCTCATTTTATGGCTAGTTAGTTTGAAACTTCGAATAAATGTTATCATTTTTTTCTCTCTTTGAGAGGAACGTGACTATAACTGACCCTATCATTGTCAATATTTGAGAACAGACAGATAGGAGCCCTTTATTATTATTGCCCTTATTAAAATATCTGCCATTTAATTCTCTGATCTGAATGCCTGAAACTACAATATTGCTGGTAAATAATAAAGTACAATAGCCTGGTTGCAAATGCATTTTGCTTTGCCTCTGTTAAGTATGCTGGAACAAGTTAAATTGAATGCTAGAGACATAGCAGAGGACACAGTTTATTATTTTCTGCCCTTATCTTATTTTGTGACGTTAATTATTTTATTTGCAGATCATGCAAACAAATTGATGTTGTGACTTGAGGGTGGGTGGGTGTTGTTCCTTTTCTGGAGTGCCATAGTGCTTAGCATTATTAGATTCTGACTGTGTGATTTTTTCAAGTGGTGTTGATGTCACTCCATGCTGTTGAATTGGGATGAGCCTGATATCCTCTGTCCTGTAGCCATTTTAAAACACTGAAGTTATTATGGGATGAAACAAGTTTTCATCTGTTGAGCTGTATAATCAACAATGTCAAATAAATCTTTGTTTGAGGAAGTATGAACTTTTAATGATTGTAAGTTATTAATGAGGTTTTACATTGATCATTCAATCTTAAGTCTCAACTTTACATTTTCACTAGGAGTTAAACCAGGATATTTAAATTAGTTGATTGTATATGGAATGCAAGTTTAGTAGGAGGTGTATTGATCCCTGCTTGGAGGTGAAGATTGGAGACCATGCCTTACCACTAATCACATGGTTTAAGTATCTTGAGTCCAATTCCAACATACAAAAACAATGGAGAAATAGAAGGTGATGTAAACCATAGGATACAAAAAGGTACAAATACTACTCAAGCATAATGGAAGGTTTCGCTGCACAATAAGACTAGCGACGTGGTAGAGAATTGAGTGTTGGACTCAAAAGCCAATAAGAGAATAAACAATGCAGAAGAGATGAGAATATTGTCGGATGATGGACATACTAGACAAAGGTGGAATCTGAATGCATTGGAGATAAACTGGATTAGCTCCTGTTGTAGAAAAAATGGTAGACTCTCATTTTAGGTGGTATCTCCTGTCCCTTTTTTCAATTTAGTTACCATTGATCAAGAGGTGCAAGATAATCTTCTAGCACTACTTGTGCCTAATCCCCCCTATGTCGTTTTGGCATAACATATAAACAATGACTTTGATCTGTTGTTCCTTCCATTATTCTTGCTGTTGGACCAAATGATTCAACTTCTGCTCTAGTTCCATCACCTGTCCAGATCTCTCTTAACTCATTGCTTTTCAAAATGTAAACGATCCTGTCTTAATGCTCATACTATTTATACTTTTTTATCATTGTTGTCTCCTTCCAACTATGCATCAGCTTTTGCACTTTTTTCTACCTCCATTCCTAAGTCGGTTCAAGAAGTGTCATGCCATCCAGCCTTGGCTCTCCAACTATAATAGCTAGCTTTTGTGGTGTGGTTCTCCCAAGGTTCTTATCACCTATTTTCTGGAAAATTTTGTTGGTTGTAGGTTGGTTTTAAATGTCAAAAATGGCCCTTTTGGGAAGGTGGATCAATTAAAGCTTGTTTTGTAGCAAAAGGATATACACAAATGTATTGTGTGGATTACAATGATACTTTCTCTTCATTTGCAAAGACAGCATTAGTTTGTCTTTTTCTAGCTATGGCTGCCATGAGGCATTGACCTTTGTTTTAGATAGATATTAAAAATGTCTTTCTATATGGTGACTTGGACGAGAAAATTTATATTGAGCAACCCCTAGGATTTATTGGGTGTTGGGTAGGGGAGTTTCCAGGTAGGTGGCCTTATAAAGAGTAGGACACCACAATGCAACCTCAAAACCTTAAGGCAATGGGTACATGAGTTCATCTTCTTATAGCCCTTAACTTGCTCATATCCCATTCCATGTGGGACTAATTCACACTTGACTTCAACACTCCTCCTCAAGTGTGAATCTATGTCACACCGTCAGCTCTCTATGCTGCGGTTCATTTACTCGTTTTAGGTGGTCACCTAGATTGACCTAGCTCTAATACTACTGTTGAGGTAGGGGAGTTTTTGGTAGAGAGCCTCATAATGAGTAAGACACCGCAATACAACTCCAAAACTTTAAAGTAATGGATATATGGGTCCATCTTCTTATAGTCCCTTAACTTGCTCATATCCTATTCCACGTGGGACTAATTCATACTTGACTCCAATATTGGTCAAGCGAGGGGGGGTTTGCAAATAGCAGAAATCCTTGTATTGGCTGAAACAGTATTTGAGAGCCTGGTTTGGACAATTTGGCAAAGTCCTTCAACAATTTGGAATGATTTATTGTGAAACAAATCACTCTGTTTTCTTTAGACACATTGTGAAAATAAATGTATCTGGTGGTAGTTTGTGCGGATAATATGCTTGTTTAGTGTTGTAAGTTAGCTCCTTTTCGTGTGATAGTCATTGGCATGCAGTTATTCAGATTCTTTAGGTACATCAAGGTATCACCTGGAAAGGGACTTGTTTATATTGATAGATGCAACATTGATATTGTTGGATAGTCAAATGCTGATTGGGCAGGAGATGTGAGTGATACATGTTCAACATCAGGATACTGTTTTTATTGGTGATAATCTTATTTCATGGAAAAGTAAAATGCAGAATGTTGTTGCTAGGACAAGTATGGAGGCCAAATATCGAGCTGTGGATCACACTACCTGTTAGCTTTTGTGGTTGAAGCATTTACTTCAGGAGTTGCAGTGTTGTTAGTTTGGCCCTATGGAGCTAGTCTGTGATAATGGATCTGCCTTATACCTCTCCTCCAATCTGATGTTTTGTTAGAGGACTATCATTTCATCAGAGAAAAGATTACCTCCACAATCTTAAAACATCGTCTGTTTTTTTTTTCAAGGATCAACTTTTATTCTACATTGTCAATACAAAATCTTTATGAAGTCCTAAAATAACTTGCATATGTAACAAGGTGGGTGCATATGATGTATATGCTCAAACTTAAGGGGCAGTGTTAAGTTGTTATTATTAGATAACAAGAGTTTGTGTTTCAGTTCTGGTTGTTGTTATAACAGTTTAGGAATTATGTTAGTCTGTTAGTTAGCTTTCAGTTTGTTATTCTCTTGCATATAAATAATGTACAGTTTTTGATATCATGAACAACATACACATTCCGATTCTCCTCTCTCAGCTTGGCCTCTCTTCATTTAATTTTTTTCCCCTCTTTTTGTCTCATGCAAATCTGGCTGCATTGTTTCTTTCCACATGCTGCTTCTCTGTGCATTGCCATGAGACAAATGTTACTATCCTATTTGATTATTCAAGTTCAACTCGTTATTTTCCATATTAATTACTTATCAATTTGGGGTGCCAGATCCAAAGTTATCTAGGTTATTAGTGTAGTACAACTTGTAAAAACGAAGATAAACTGAAAAGAACTATTAAAATAATTAGGCCTCTAAAAGAACAGGATCTGAATTTTCTAACTTCTCACTATTATGTGGATCAAAAACAAAGTCCGGTTTAGTCCTAGACATTATGATCTTCAGATGCCCCATTCCCCACTATACAGGTATGATGATAGTCATAGTTCAAGGAATATAAGTGCAAATTGTAAATGTTCATACTATGCTTTATAAAAAGGGTTGATATTATTCTCTTGAAGAACTTGTGTGAAGTGAGTTCAGTTGTCTTCATGAATCTGGCATAACTGGTGCATATGCTGTACTTTCTTTCCTTATCTATAAATTGCAACATAAGATGACCTTCGTTTGTTGTTCAGGATGAAATTCATGAAAGGGACAGATACTCAGACGTCATGTTGGCAATCCTCAGGTATTCCATCTAAAGGAACTTATTAGCTTTTCACTTTGTAGTGTATTTCCATTATATTTCAAAATATAACTCCTGTAGCATTATTGGTTGTAAAGTTGGGTTGTAGATTATAGTATGTAGAGATTTCTAGTAAGCAATGGATTAATTTTTCTATTGTTCACAGATGTAAATGCTTTGTTCTACCCTTATATTTCTTGGTATTTTATCAAAAAATCTTTATCCACTTTGGACTAATATGTCTGATTTTTTGCATTTATGTGCAGAGAGATGCTCCCTTCAAATCCCCACCTACGTCTGGTTTGTTCAATGTTCTATATACTTTTTTTTTCCTGTTTCTTTCACATCAAGTCAGTTGATTATTTAATTCGTAACTTCATATCATATCAGTTTTCAACTTTTATCAGTCTTTGTAATATTTATCCTCCCTCCTTCTGTTGCTGTGATATTACAGATACTGATGAGTGCTAATGTTGATGCTGCAAGATTTTCTCAATATTTTGGTGTCTGCCCAATTATCTATGTTCCGGGGTTCACATATCCGGTACTCATACTGTATTCTTATTGTGAATTAACTACCACATTATGACATTTGACTGCAATATTCACTTGTTCTGTTGTCAGGTTAAAACTTACTACTTGGAGGATGTACTTTCGATTGTAAAATCTGGAGCAGATAATCATCTTGATGATAACCATGAACTTAGTGAGGAAGAAAAGCTTTCTCTAGATGAAGCCATTAATTTGGCTTTGTATAATGATGAGTGGTGCTCCCTGTTAGAGTTTGTTTCTTCAAAAGCTAGTCCAAAGGTCTTAAATTATCAGCATTCATTAACTGGCCTCAGTCCATTAATGGTGTTTGCTGGAAAAGGTAAAGTGGGTGATATGTGCATGCTCTTATCTTTAGGGGCAAAGTGTCATTTAAGGGGCAAAGATGGATTGACTGCACTGGAGATTGCTGAGAAGGGAAACCATCAAGAAGCTGCTGAATTGCTGAAGAAACACATGGATAATGATTTTTGCAACAACAAAAGGAACAATTTACTGGATAAAAATTTTGCAACAGTCAACCCTAAAGTTATTGACGTTGTTCTGATAGAGCAGCTGATAATAAAAATATGTGTTGATTCACAAGATGGAGGTATCCTTGTTTTGCTTCCAGGTAGGGATGAAATCACTAGAACTCGTGAAAGATTGCTTGCATCCCCATTTTTTGGTAACACATCGAAGTTTAGGGTCATATCTCTGCATTCAATGGCTCGATCCATTAAGCAAAGGAAGGTTTATATGTGTGCAACATCTGCTTACCGCAAAATTGTGCTCTCTACCAATATTGCTGAAACTGCTGTCAGTATTGATGATATAGTATATGTTATAGACACTGGGCTTGTGAAAGAAAAAAGTTATGAGCCTTATAGTAATGTGTTAACACTTCAATCATCTTGGATTTCAAAGGCAAGTGCTAGCCAACGGGAGGCACTTGCTGGTCACTGTCAACCTGGAGTTTGTTATCATCTATATTCAAAGGTTCAAGCTGCTTCCTTGCCAGATTTTCAGGTCCCTGAAATTAAGAGAATGCCTATTGAGGAGCTGTGTCTGCAGGTATTCATCTTCCCTAATTAGTAGCTGAGAAATTGGTGATTCATATACTCCCATGATAAATTGATGAAAATTTTTAAACTATCCCACAAAATAGTGATGATAAAATATAAAATGAAAATGAGGAAAAAAATGTTTTTTTTTTGCTACATCAGAGAAATCACAGTGGGGCGGGTTTTGTTAGTTGAAGGAATTATAGTTAGTTAGTTAGTTGTAGTTTTAGTAGAATGAGTGGAGTAGGCTATATATAGATGGAGAGAGAAGATAGCTCAAAAGATTGATTTGGGTTGAGATCTTAGGCTCCCAAATCAACCCAAATCCCAGAGGGGGACAATTCTACTCTTTCTTTATCAATAAACACTACAGGTGTTGAGCCTGAGATCTCTCCCCCAAATCAATTTTTGAGCTAAAACTGAATGCCACTAATCTTCTCTCCTCATCTATTTATTACCTACTCTCCCTATTCTATTGCAAGTGTAACTGACTATATAACCCAGTAACAGAATCAAGGCCATTGAACTTCCATATCATTTTGGAGCAACTTTGACGTTAGGTTGAGAGAAGCTAATTGGAAAAGGTCCTATGACTTTGTCTATGGATAGAGAGAATTGTCTATGGTAGGATAGAACAGCCCTAACATTTTGTGTGTGTGTGTGTGTGTGAGAGAGAGAGAGAGAGAGAGAGAGGCACACACACACACACATGTTTTTAACCTATAAGTTTATTTCATCCATTCTACCTGAATTTTAGGGTAGCAAAAATTTGGTATTTGAGAACTGACGGTAGTATTGCTCCTTGAGTATCTTTTCATTGCAATCTATTACTGAATTCCCAAACTGTCGGAGATAATTCTCCTATCCCTTGTTCCCTTTCCTTTCTTCTTGTTCATTATCTGTCTGTCAAACATTTTAAGGACAATTTCTTCCCTGGCATCACCTATGGGTTATATATAGTAAGCTTTTCTAAGCTTGGTTCTCAAGCTAAGGTTTTTATTGTCTCTTGATACATAAGTAAGATTGGGGAGGTATACTTTCTTGCTTTGTCTCCCTCTTTATTTTTTGTGTATTATTGCTTTTTGATGAGGATGTTTTATCTTGGGTTGGTGTATTTCCCTACTTCAGCTTCTTAATCTATCCAATAAAAAATTCTTGGGTGTCAATAAATTGAGTCATGACTCACGGTTCTCCTTTTTTATTGACAGGTAAAGTTGCTTGATCCAAGCTGCAAAATAGAAGAGTTTCTGAGCCGAACATTAGATCCTCCGGGTGTTGAGTCTATACAAAATGCTGTTGGAGTTCTTAAAGAGATTGGGGCATTGTCAGTTGGTGAACAACTCACCCAGCTAGGAAAGAAGCTTGGCTCTCTTGCTGTTCCTCTATCAACAAGCAGGATGCTTCTTTTTTCCATATTGACGAATTGCCTTGATCCAGCATTAACTCTTGCATGTGTGTCTGAGTATAAAGACCCATTTAAGCATCCACTTTTACCTGATGAAAAGGAGATAGCTGCAGCTGCCAGATCCGAGTTTGCTTCTTTATATGGGGGTTGTGGTGACCAGTTTGCTGTAATAGCAGCATTTGAATGCTGGCAAAATTCAAAGAGAATGGGTCTAGACTCGCGATTTTGTTATCAGTACTTTGTCTCTCCAAAAACTATGTTCATTTTACTTGGCATGCGTAGGAAATTAGCAGCAGAACTATCTCGGAATGGGCTTATTCACAATGATATTTCATATTATTGCTCAAATGCCCATGACCCTGGTATTCTTCAAGCAGTTCTGGTAGCATGGATGTATCCAAATGTTGGGAAATTGCTTTTACCAAATGAAAGGGCAAAGAAGTATATTGTTAAAACTAAAAGTGGAGATAATGTTCGCTTGAATAGTCTCTCCTTAAATTCTAAGTTTTCATTTAAGAAAGGGTATGATTGCTCTTTAGTGGTACATGATGAGATTACTTGCAGTGACTGGGGCATGTGCATTAGGAACTGTACTGTTGTTGGACTACTTCCATTTTTCCTGCTTTCCAAAGAGATTGCTGTTACTCCAGCAATGGATTATAAAGAGGGAGATGAGGTTATCTCTTCTCCTGATAATATTGTTAGAGTAACCGTAGATCGGTGGCTTGATTTTGAGTCAACAATACTTGATGCATCTCAGATTTTCTACTTGAGAGAGCGATTATCAGCAGCAATTTTATCTAAAGTAATCCAATATTTTTTTTTTCACCGACAGATTTGCACTGATTTAATGAGCTTGTAGCCACTTCATTCCTTTTCTTTCCATCTGCTTGATATATTCGTTTACATTTTCAGGTGACTCATTCAAAGCATTTTCTTCCTACTGATCTACGGGTTGCTATGGATGCCTTAGCTTGTGTTCTGTCTTGTGATGGGCTTTCAGGCATACCACAGACCTCAGCTTGTGTTAACACACTGACTACCACTATAAATGCAACTGATCCAGAAGGATTCCAAATAGAGCTTACAAATCAAGATGCACACAAGACCAATCCTTCTAAAGTTAATGAGTCAGCATCCGAGGCCATTGAAAATCCAAATAAGCAAACTTGTCAGAATGCTCCAATAGATTTGGCTTGCTCTATCTCAATGAAGCAAACAGATAAAAATCCAGAAGGATCCCCTACAAAGCTTATAAATCATGATGACATGCCTTCTTCTAGACCTAGCATATCCACATCCAAGGGTGCAGAAAATCCTTGCGATCCACCAAATCAGAGCACTGCAATAGGTTCAGCTTGCTCAATCCAGCCAGCACATATAAATGATGTTGCAACCATGATTGACGTGTCTTCTCCTAAAGATAGCAGATCTGCTTCCAAGTGCCTAGAAAACCCAAATCGAGTAAGGTGGAGTTCTTCTAAAGGTATGGAGAGAAGTTGTAAATTGTCCTTTGCCCCCCACTATTAGTTGCAGTCATTGTTTTAGGTTGCTGTTTACACCCACAATTGCAAACACAACGTTGCAGTTTTTGAAGTCTACACTGCTGCAATTGTGGCAGCGTCAGCTACATATGTCCTCAATTTCTTAGTGTTACTAACCGGGGTTGAAGGAGTAATCCTAATTGTATTCTTATGCTCAATAAACAGGGGGGTGCTATCGAATGGTTGCAGTTGGGTGGACCTTTCCTGAAGTGGGATGGATGAAAGCTAATACAGACGGGTCTTATAAGGAACGAGAATATCTTGCTGCCTCTGGAGGAGTTTTTCGGGATGACACAGGTTCTTGGTGCTTTGGTTTTGTACAAAATCATGGAGTCATATGCGGGTAAATTTTGCCTAAATAAAGTTAATTTGAGGATTCTGTTACGGTCTCTAGTGCAACTTCCTTTATAGAAAATCATGTTTATTAGGAGTGACATTCATTTCTTTTTTCATTGTGTTGTCAGATCATCGGATGAGGCTAAAGCTATTGGTAATTACGGTATTACATTGAGTGAGCTGTGGGGTATACTGGCTGCCCTCAAGCTTGCTAGGGAGAGGGGCATTTCGCAGCTGTGGGTTGAGACTGATTGTGCTATTGCATTGGAGTTTGTTTTGAATAGATCGGGGTTGAATATTGATGTTTTGGCCCCTGTCGTCCAGTCCATATTAGATGAGATGATGAAGGAAGATTGCACGGTTCGACTTTCCCATTGTTATCGTGAAGGAAACAAAGTTGCTGACTGGTTGGCTCACTATGCACAATCTACTGAGCTGGGTCTTCATGTGCTTCGTGCCCCTCCTCCTGATTGTGTCAAATTCGTAAAAAATGATATTTCTGGAGTTTTTAAACTCCGTGCTGTACGTGCCGGTTCTCGTGCTGATTTGAAAGTGTGAAAAAGCTAATATTGAGTATTTATGGATAGTTAAGATTAGTCTTAATGGAAAATTATTTTGGTTGGGATTAATTCCTCTCACACTCGTCCCTTGTATAATATTTTTGTATTTACCAGAAATTTTTGCTAGGAAATCTAACAACGTTTTTCTGCCGGATGATTAATTCTCCCACCCTTTAGTTTGTTGAGCAAACATGGAAATGAGATTCAGCCTGAAGATAACCCATGGGATTAAGCCAGCACGGAAACGAGTCTTGTGGCTTTTTCAAATTGATAAATTCATTAAGAGTCTGGAGACAGAAATCAAGATCTTTTAATTTGTGGGGCCTACCATATCTGTAAGGCTCATAACAGGACTTTTATTGTTTGTGGGATTCAAATTGTCTTCACTTTAGGCGAGAATTGGACTTTTAATTTATTTTTCGCGATAAAATAGTTTGAGCTAATTTTTATACAATTTTTTCTTCTTTTTAAATTTAACATTTTCTCTTCAATCTTTATATTCAATTTTTTTCTTTCTATTATACTTAACTCTCTTTTTTTTTAACCTCATATATAATTTCTCTCTTCTTTTTTTCATTCTCACTTTATCCAATACATATCTCTCTTTTTTTTGTACTCAACTCTTCACTTTCATTTTCTTTCACTGCCATTACTATACCACTCACTCTCTTTGTCTACATCTATTCTTAGTCTTCTCTTTTTTTTACACTTAGCCTTTATATATTCAAATATGCAAAATTTGTTTAAGCTAAAATAATTCGCTTAAGCGAATATGCACAATTTGGTTAAGCCAGAAAAATTAGCTTAAATTAATTTTGCAAAAAAATTTTAGGAGCGGAGGAAGAGGAAAGTAAAGAGTTGAGTATAGAGAAAAGAAAGAGAAATAGGTATTGGGTGAGGTGAGAATGAGAAGAGGAGGGGAGGAGTTAGGTATGAGAAAGAAAATAAAGTTAGGAAGGAAAGAGAAGAGTTAGGTATAAAAGAAAAAAGAAGGTTGAATATGGAGGTTAAGGAGAAAATGTTAGGAGGTTTAGCGAGAACGAGAAGAGAAGATTGAATGAAAATTAAAGTTCTCTGTCTATTTTTCACTTAAGCTTATTATTTTTGCTGAAGCCTTCTTTTTTTTTTTTTTTCCCGCTTAAGCCTTTTGTTTTATGAAAATTGATTCAAGCCATTTTGTCATGATTTTAAATGAAAATGGGTTGCTTAAGTGAAAAATAAACTGGAAGTCCAATTCTCATCTAAATTGGTGACAATCTGAATTCACTGTTTATGGAACCTATCAAAATTTGTTTGGCCTCCTTGTTTAGAGTCTTAGGTCGTCTTGTTCTCTTCTAACATTGTTGTGTAAAATTCACGTTATTCATTGTCTAAAAATATGCTTGTCCTATTTAGGAAAATCTATTTTTTACTTTTATTTAGTTAAAATTTATTTTACATCATTTATTTTCCACTATTTGCTTCTTTGCTTAATTAATTAACTAATTATTATAGTTCTCATGGTAAATGACTTTTAGTAACACAGTGTATGCACTTTATTTATTGGTTGATAGGCTGAAAAAAGATATAATCACCTTAAATATTTTGTTCTTCACAAAATAAAAATATTATGAAGTTCGATTGTCATAATTCTTAATGTTTTGCAATTGTTGTGAATCATTTTGTTAATTTGAGGGGTTTAAACTTTCTGATGAATAAAACACACTTCAATTAAATTTAGGTGGTTGCTTCTGAACCCTAACTTTTAAAAAAGTATTAATAACCTTCTTATGTGAACTAATAACAAAAGGTTATTTTATTTTTAATAAATACATTATCTATAATTTTAAATATTGCAAAGAGGTCCTTTAGTTTAAGTTATAATTTTAAATATTGCAAAGAGGTCCTTTCTTGTGCGGAAAATTTAAATGCAGAATGAGCATATAATTTCATCTTCCTTGCGGCCAATATTCCATCGTTGGTGCTAATTGATTTCAGAGGGTTTTAGTATTGATTGATTGGATTATACAAAGCATTGGTAAAAGTTTTGTCACAACTAACAATTTGTAGCAATTCACATATGTGGGTTTTGCAAAGAAAGATGACTTCATGAGAGGCTCACAATGACCGAGACAACGTTAATGGCAGGTTATAGTAAAATTTTACATTAAATTTGTCATTAACTATAAACCTACTGCAAGGTATCTCTCATCAAACACAGACCTCAACACCATCATCCTCACACCAATATAGAACTTCAATATCAAAACAACCACATCTTATCATCCTTGTCAAAAGGTCACAACTCTATTTCTAAACCTGCAAGCCAGCACCCAAAATAAAATCAACCTAAGGTAACTACCATTATTGAACCGGGAATGTGACATCGCAACAATATTATTCTTCTGACACTACAATTACCTTTCATCGGTATATACATAGTTATTTTCACCTCTATTAATGGTTTCACTTCACCTTTGTTAATGGCCTCTCTCCCTCTATTTTCAATGAACCCTAACTGCAGTCTTCAAACACATTCAAAAGAGGAGGGATTGCAATTACAAAAAATAAAAAATATCAATTTTTTTAATGTTAAATATATTTTTTACAAATGTTATAAATATATTGGACCATATAAGGAGGTAGAGGTACCCTTTAAAGGGTACCGTAGAAATCACCTTAAATCTAAACCGCTCATATATTTTGGAATTGAAATATTGAATACGCTAAGCCTATTCTAGTATTTGACAGAAAAGTGAAAATAAGCAACAGACGAAAGAACCAAGCCGAAACTAAACCCTCCATCTCCAGCAAGAGTGCAAGAGAATACTCTGGGTGCCTTGCTGCAGACCAAACCAAAACAAAATTCGTGAAGATAAATTGTAACTCAATCAAGCTCTATATTTTGCTGATATGATAGAATAATGTTATTACTACATCATCCGCTGCCAGGAAAATTAGGCTCCAAAACCTGAGAATATATTAAGAAATTGCCGCCTTGGAAGGCTAATACTTCCACGTACGAAGATTTGAGTTTTATATTTACGTCATTTGATCCACTTTTTCTGGAAACAAAATTATTGAAAGGCAGTATGTTTTGTTTCCAATTTTGCTTTGCCATCTCCCGTTTCCAATTAAAATATTACTGCCAATCCACACCACGAGGCGTAGGACAAAATTAAAGTATAATTTTGAAATACTTTAAGTATTATTTATCAATTAAAGTTTATCTGAAATAAAATATTTATATTTTGTGTTATGCATGTTTTTATTGACAAACAGATCTAAAAGCACATTGAAAACCTCACTGAAGTTTGTCCTAGACAAAATTGAAAACACTACTGCAAAAAAAACTCCAGTCCAAAATTAACGTTGCATGCGCCTCTCTGCATTTCTGGTGGACAAGCCTTCAATGCTTTTTTCATATCATAACTAGGTTACAAAAGTCACTGTTCCCATTGATATGCACTGGAAGAACGGTAGACATTTATAATTATAAATGAAGGGTACAGATTTGTTCACCTTTTAATTTCAAGTCCCAAAACACCTAATTGAAAGAAATTAGAATTTAAAATGAAACAATTTAAATGATTAAGTTTAGAGACAATATGCTATTTTCATAAGGAAGAAAAAACGAATTAAGTTTCTGTTTTGGAGCGTAGGGGTGTAATTGAGACCTGACTCAGTTTCCCATCGGTACAATCCAGTGATTCTCCTAATTTAACAGTCATCCTCTACACTTCTAAAATATCAAAACTCGTTTTATCAACATCTCTTGGGATATGAACTTTAATATGGAAAACAATAAAACAAGCTGGAAAATAAAAACAAATACTAAGAACCAAAAGTAACCTAAAATATATGTTTTCGGCTCAATTGCTGACGCGTGGGCAATAACAAACGATTTACAATCAGCCTTGTGTATGTTATCAAATATCTAAGGATGCACAAGCTCTTCTCTAAAAATGTTTCCAATTTCAGCCAAATATACTTTGTATTTCACTTACATGTGCTTTGAAATTTCAGTTTTTCAACATCTGATAATGGTCAATGTCTCCACAAAACAAAGGTGAACAAGAAAATGACAGTCAATAGCATTCCTGCATATTTGATCCATTGGTCGACACGGTTTCGTCTCTCGATTAGCCTCAAAACAGAATTTGATATCCCAACTGTATTCAGGATGTCCAATGCTTTTCGATGTGCACTCTGCACCAAGACACAAGTCAAATGCAAAGATATATATATATCTTATCAACATCAATATAACGGGATTAAAAGAATGTTTTAATTCCTAATAATGTTTACACTATTAGTTTACATTCTTATTCTTAGGAGTTAAAACCATCGGATGACTTTTATAAAAAAAAGAAATCTGGATGCTACATTAGCTTAAAATAGAAAACCAAACCAGAAAGAAAATAAAAATTACACCTTTTCAACAAGAGAATCTAAGTTACAGTTGAAGCATTAAAACCAACTAAGCTTGATGCTAAATGCTTTTAAGTGTGAAACATATAAGTGGAGAAGAATTGATTTAATTTCTACAAACTTAGTTCATAATCATCAAAAGCGAGCTGTAACAGGACTATAGAGGCATAAAGGAGCCAACCAGCCACAGTCCACTGCAAAATTTGAAGAGTAGAGTCCGGAGTTTTTCCAAATAGCAGCCGAGTGGCACTCGAAATTTTTCAAAAGAACTCATTTTTGCCAATAAAAAAAGGGTTGTTTAGGGGGGCTTTTTATCAGGAAACATGGATATTTCTCTACCCCTTTTTAGAATCTAAAATTTCTTAATTGGAACCCACACTTCTATCTACCACTCACACTGCAACCAGCAATTTGGTGTTGCTTTTGTTTTCACTTTTATAGTTATTTACTTCTAAGTTTTACTTAAGACCTATGACATTTTATTTTTAATTACGAATATGTTATGAGTTTTGAACATTTGTATATATAGTATAAAATATTTCATTTATAAAATAAATAAATAACAACCATTCCGCGATGCACTATCCCACTATAGTGTTTTTCACTTTAGTTGCTATATGCCAATATCCAAGATTTGATAACTATGCATAGTTTCATAATGGTATTGCCCAAAATGAATTGTTCAAGTACAACAAAATTGATTAGGATTTTTGAAAACTACCACAGTCTAAACACAAGTAGTAAGAATTCTTCAAATTTAAAGGAAAAAAGAGACAAGAAAGAGTTAAATGTATAAGGTCAACATCTGAAACAGAAAACAACATAAAAAGAGTGAGAAATAAAAGAAAGAAAGTAGAGGAAACAGCACAAAAGGAGATGGGAAATTGCTAAAATTGCTGCTAGATTGCAGCAATTTAAGCAATTCCCATATAAATTTGTGCGGAGACATAAATCTAAGTATCTAATCCATCATCCACAGCCGAAAATATATTATCATCATATTAATCCTGCTATCAAGTATGTTATGGGTAGACAAATGAAGGTAGAAGATAAATACCTTCAGCCGTTCCCTTTGGCCATGTATTGAGGAAAGGATGGCCTCCCCAAGTGCATTGGCATTTTCTAGCTCCCGGGAAGAATTGCGAACTGAGTGCATTGCTTGTGCATCATCATCAAAAATTCTCAAAACATGAGCAGAATCCCCATTCTAGCAATTTGAAATGAAGTTGTATTTAGCAAAACAACAAAAATAAAATGAGCCATTAAACCAGAGCATGTTAGCAACAACTTACAGCTCGTCCCAGTAGTTCTGCTCTCTCTTTAGCTTCTCTCATCCGTTTCTGATTCCGTAAGTTATATTTATCCAAACTTTCTTTCAGTGATTCAGCTTCTTCAGCTATTTGCTCCACTTTTCTGCACAAGAAAACATAATAACCCCTAATGAAAAAATGCCCAGCCAGAAAGTTATAGAGATATTCTTATTGCTCAAAGAATACAATTGGAAAAGAATGAAATAGCTACTTGACATTAAGACACCCAATACAGCTCTGAAAATATGCAAACATCAATTAACAACATATGCAATATGTTATTTCAACGTCATAAAAAAAAAAAAAGCTACTGCGTTAGACCACGTATATGGGTTTTCCAACATGTTTCCAAACACACCGCATCAGGCATCAAATTTCCCTTAAAAAAACCACACTGAACGCTGTCAACTTCGCTACTACATTCCCAATCATCAATAGTCCATAATCCCTAACAACCATCACTGCTTCATCGTCCAAAAAATACGAATAAACAACATCATAACATAATTCAGAAACATTTCTCGATTCATTTAAAAACCTCAAATTATCAACATTCTTCCACCATTCAAAAAAGCGCAATTCAGGAGCTCCATAAACCACATGGCAAATCAACACACACAAATTTGTCGAAGCAATTTCAATAGAAAAAACAACCGATTCGACTAGATCGGGATTCGAATCGCCGCGATTTTCGATCGGTTCACCTTTTCCAGAGATCGCGTTGAGGTTTGGCAGCGATGGATCGCCAGAGACGGTCCATCTCAACGCAGAGCGATTGGATCTGAGTGATGTCCTTCTTCACGGCGAACGACAACTCCGTGTCGGCGCCGGCAACGGCAGCGGAGGCGGTGGCAGAATATTCGAGACGCTCGAGGCGTTCGAGGCCGTCGCGAGACCGAAGCAAGAACTTCTTCGCGGTTTGGTGAATCTCAGAGAGCGTTCCTCCACCTCCTTCCATGACGGTGACGGTATCTGTGGTTTCTGAAAGCTTCTCCGACAGAGAGAAAGAGGAAGATCACCGTAACTGTTTATTGATTTAGGAAAGTGGTGTTCGCAATTACGTGTTTGGAAAAGTGATACAAAATTTGTATTTTCTCATTAACATTTTCTTTACAATAGAAAAACATGTTTTAATTATATTTAAGGATGCAAATTTGTGGAGCTCGTTCGGTTATCCAAAGTTCTGCGCAGTAAGCAGAATCATTTTTTGTCAATATTAATTTTTTTTTGTCTTTTCAATAATTAACATTTGAATTTAAGATTTTTAACATGTTTATTTTTTTACCATAAAAAAGAGCAACTAACTCTAGAGATTTTTAACATAAAATTAAGCTGATTTTAAATCGAAAAATCAAATTAAAAAAATAAAAAATTGATTAACTCAAATTGACAATTGTATCTTGATTTTTTTTCAACTATTTTAAAAAGTTTTATTTCAATAATTTATTAATTAAACATAAATCAATATTTTTTACTTAAATATTAATATATTATTTTAAATATATTTTTTAATTGTTAAATTTTGTAGATAATAAACAATATTTTTTCATGTATATATCCAATTACTTAATCCACATTCATTTTCGAGTTAGTTGATTAAAGTCACATGCAACAAAATGTTAATATTTTTACTCTCATCTAACCGATGCATAATTATAAAGATATTTTTTTATGATGAGTCTCTAACTAAAATTAGAGTTTTATTTCAATAATATAAACTAATATTTAATGTTAGAATTTAATGTGTGAATTATTGAAGTAGAACTTTAATTTTAATTGGAGAATAATATTAAAAAAATATTTATAACATTTGCATCTAATTTTTTAATTTATCATACCAAAAATACTTTGAAGAATGCATCTAAATTTTATCTAACAAAACTTTATTTGTTTATTTAATTTCAAGTTTGTTGCATATTTATTTAGACAAAAACATTTCAATGTTGCTTTGTTCAAAAAAATAAAAATGAAATGTTTGAATAATGCGCTTAATTTTTATTTATTTTTACAAATATTACTTTTTTATTTGACTCAAAATATAAACAAAAATTACCCTTCTCGCAACAATTACAATATAAAGATAAGTGGATTTTTACTTTATTCATTGGGATATGTAATGCACTGAAATCAATTCTTTAAATTTAAAATTTTAAATATTGGTTTCTAAAATTAAAATCTTAAATAAATTAGGCCATGTTTAAATAAATCTGTAGAGAAGTTTATATAGAGTAAAGGAATTACTATACGAAATTAATAAAACTTTTTTTATAAATTAAAAATAACTTATCTCTTCAAATTTTAAAAAAACTAAATACGTAAATTTTCTAGAATTAAAAAAAAATATAAATTATATTTAACTTATACAAAAATTTTATTTAGTTTTTATATTAATTTTTTCTTATATAAAGTTTTTTAACAAGTTTATACAAATAAAACATTAATCCTTATCATAACGAAAAGTTGTAATTAAATAATAAAACGATTTATTATATTAAATGACATATCCACTTTAATATTAGATACAAAATAACTTTTAATTATAGAAAATAATTTATTATTTTCCTTAACTTCTGCGATTTCTAAGTTCTAACTTTTAACATTCTTATTCTTATTCTCAATGATTATTCTTCTTCCTTTTCTTCATCCTTTTTCTTTTAACGGAAATTTGACGATTTTGTTGATATGGAATTGGGAGGATCCAAAAAATTTAGCACCGATGAGTTTGCCGTTGCAGTTTTAGGGTGAGAACCTTACTCCAACAACGAAGAATGGGACTGAGGTTCAAACCGTAAAAGCTCCGGCGCTTAAACCAAGTGTTAGCGGCGAACACTCCGACGATGGTGTTGGAGTCGGAGTTGGATTTGGATTAAAAGGTCCCAGTGATCACAGAGACCAGAGAACTGAGGGGAACAAGTGTTGTGAAGTTGACGAAGATGGCTCTGAAAGATTGTGATTAATTATACTTAATAATAACTAATTATCTGTCTTGTGATAAATAAGTAAAATAATTAAAAATTTTGTAAAAGTGTGAAGAGTAAGAATATAAAAGAAAAGTACTGTAAGAAATATTTTCTTAAATTTGTAATGTGATAGATAAAACAGCTGAAACGGTAACAGGTAAAAGGGAACAAAATAAGTAACTAGTAAATGAACCAGAGTTGGGCAATAAATTTTGTACATCAAGTCTTGCACAACCTCGCTAAAGAAGTTAAGAGTCATTACTAAATTTTTAATGAAATAATCTTTTATTGCATATTTTCAAACACACTTTAAAATATCTGTTTGATAAATGATCAAAAAACAAAAATTGAAAAGGCTTACTATAAATGAGGCCTTCCCGAGAATGGTTGACAAGAACCCTTCACAATACGAGAAGAAAGTTGCATAGAAATTGAAGGAAAAATGGAGGAGAAGAAAGTGATGGGTTTTGTGATGCTAACTATTACTTTGATTTTTGGTGTGATGGTAACATTAAGTGAAAGTGGAAATGACGGGTGCAGTGACGCTGAACCATTTCTTATCCCATGCATGCCTTATTTTGGGAGTTTAGGCATATTGGCACCAGATAGAAGGTGCTGTGAAGGAGCAGCAATGGTGCTTCGAAAAGCCAATGCCACCACTCAAAGTAGAAGATTTTTTTGTGAATGTTTGAAATCGTATGTGTTATTTTTACGTTTTAATCCTGAGAGAGTGATTGAGCTTCCTAAAAAATGCAACATTCCCTCTTATTTTCCTATTGATCCAAGAGAGGATTGCAATTCGTAAGCCTTTCTCACTCTCTCACACGTTTATTGATTTGATTTGCTTTCTAACTTTTTCTTTGTTCTTGTGTAGGATTCCATGATGCCTCAAGAAGGGAAATCACATAAACGTTTGAATAAATTTGGATCCAGAAATTAATGTATTCAAAACTTATGCTATATATATATATATATATAATCTGAAGAAGAGCTATTAATTTTTTAGTTTTCAAGCAGACACCCTTTTTCCCATCCCTCATCTCTCTTTGTTTTTAAAAAATAGTAAAAAGAGTACAAAATTTCTTATACAATTAAAATGGATTATTAAATAAATAATCTTGACCATCTCCTCTCTTTACCATCAATTTAGATGTAAAATTTAATATAATTTATTGTTAATAATATTGTTAATCTAACCTGAGGTGCAATTTTTTTAATCTCAATTTACAATAATATTGTTGTTTCTAAATTATAATTAATTTTTTATATTATTATTATTTTTAAATTGGAAACTTAAAAATAATTTCTAATTAATTAATTAATAAATATTTTTTTATTAATAAGTTAATGGAACTAAGAGATAATTTATATTTAAAAGTTAAGGGAATCAATTTATCACAGATTTTAAGTACGTAATTGAATTTTATAAATTTAATATTTTTATTTATCTTATTATTTTCTATAATTATTATGATTATACACAGATAAAAAAACTATTATTATTATATGACCATTGGGTAATAGTTTATCAGATGATTAATAATTGTTTTAACACAAATTGATATAATTGAATTTAGTAACATATAAGTAATTACAAGAAAAAATCAAAGTCCCATGCTTTTATTCATATCAAAACAACTTTTATGATTACTTTATTTTTTGTTTGTCTTTTAATTTCAAAACTTTATTTTTTGTTTGTCTTTTAATTTCAAAACTTTATTTTAATCCAAACATTCTAAACTTTTAAATTTACTTAACAGCTAAAGAACAATAGTAGCATCTCCTTGCAATATATTTTTTGTGGGAACAATACTAAAAGAGTCTTACCATTCTTTTTACTACAATTGATAAGTATACTTTACTCCTTGGTTGAAAGCTTTTTAAAAAGTTGGAAATCTGCAAATAGCAAACTAGAGTTATGGTGCGAGATCATGATCAAGGTTTGAAGTGGAGATAATCGTGACAATTCTGGACAGGTTTGATTATGTTTTTGGTTTTGCTTCTTTGATTCAACTCTTCAATCCTGTTGATGCTTTAATTCTTAATTTCAATTTTGTCCCTTTGTCATTCTTGTTTTTGTTCTCTTTTATCCCTTGATGCTCTTGGTTCCTATTGCAACGTGAGTCACAATGGGACTACGAACTTGTTTTACAAAATATTGTTTAACAATAAATGGTTTTTAAAAATTAAAAGAGTTGTTATTAAAATTTATTAAAATTTTTTTAAAAAAACTTTTAAAATAATATGATATTTGAAAAAAAATTAATTTTAAAGTCATTTAGTTATTAATATCTTACAGCATCTATTTAAATATTATTACTTTAAATTAATTAATTTATTTATTAAAAATATTAATTAATATTATAGAATAAAAAAATTATTTTAACTCAACAGAAGAATTCAAAATTGTGTATTTTTATCTAAAAGTAAGGCTAGCATAAAACTCAAGCAGCTAAAGCAAGGACTTTAGGTCTAAAAAAAATATTTTTTTATACTATAAATAATATTCAATGAGTATTAACTTTTGATTAATAAATAATAATGATTTATTTTTTATTTTATTTTTTTAAAAGAAGAATGGTTGAATAACAAGAAAATTTGAATAATTTTAATATTTTATTTAGTTCTTACATTTATCTTCTTCTTTTTTTTATTGCTTTCTACTCTTTTTATTCTTATTAAATTTTGTTATAATTTGAAATTTAATTTAAATATTATTAACTTATACTTAATTATTTGATTTATTCCTTCTAAATACCTTAATTTTGGATAAAACTGAAAAAAGTCAAAATTTTAAAAACTGTCGTTTATTGAAACATTTTATTGGCATGTTCCTAAATTGAGAGATTAAGGTCAAAATTAATTAATTTTTTATTTTATAGATAATTTTGCATCACAAAAAGTTTAAAAAATAAATTTTATGTACACTTATAATAATATTAATTAATTGTTTTATTAATTAAAAAATGTTTCATTCTTAAATTTGCTTGAGGTGATAACATTTAAAATACAAAATAGTATGACTATATATACTTCACAATAAACAATATTGTAAATAAGGTGTTTAATTTACATATGGGAGAAATATTTACAAGATAAAGGAGATTAATAATGAAAATAAAGTATTTAACTTAAAATATTTGAATGAATATTTTAATTATAAAAATTTATTATATAAAATTTAAAATAATGTAAACTATATATAAATTCTTTATAAGTTATTCAACTTTTTATTAAAGTTTTACTTTTATATATAATAATTTTTTATTAAATGTAATTCATAGGTAATTTATTATTTTAGTTTTTAACATTATATATGACACCGTCAACATCCATCTTAACCATTTACACTTTGTTTTATGTAATTTTTTTTTTCTTTTTTTTATCCACGCTACTAATATTACATATAATTCTGATTAATTTAATTTTAATAATTATAAATTTTTTATAAATGCACGTAATATTAAGTCTGCACAGTTATATATATATATATATATATATATATATATATATACTAGATAGATTACATAAATATATAACCATTCGATCGAGAACACATTTATAATATTATCATTTATTGTTGCTAGTAAAATAAAAAAAAATTAAAATATTTTATAGAAAGATGTCAATAAACATTCAAAAGTCAACATTGACCATATTTATTACTATGTATCTTCCTTTTTATGTATCATTTAAGATTGTTTCACAAAAAAAAAACCATTAATATCCTAATTTATATAAAAAAATAGTATCTAATTTTAATTTTACTCTTCTTTCTTATTTAATTAACTTCATTTTTATTTATTAATTTTATTCATTAAATATAAATATTAAAATAAAATTTATTTTATATTGGTGAGTAAGTAATGAAAATATTTGTGATTTAGTTTCGCTAATATTTAGACTTTATAATAATTAATTATTCATCTTATAATAAGTATGTAAAATGATTAAAATTTTTGTAAAGAGTAAGGCAGTGTAGAAAAATTTAACAAATATTTTCTTGAATTTGTAAAGTGACAGATAAAAACATTAAAATGGTAACAGATAAAAAACCGCCAAATAAGTAACTATTAATTGAAAAAAAAAATTGGGCAGTAAATTTTATGCATAACGTCAACTGCACCGTCTATAATAGATTTTTATGAAAATTGATAAAATTGAATGCATTGATTATCATCTTTTATTGCAGATTTTAAAACAGCTTTTAAAAAGTCTATTCAATAAAAAAGAAAAACTGACAAGAGTTACTATAAATGAGGACATCCTCTGAATGGTTGAGAACAAAGTGGGATAGAAATTGAAGAAAAAATGGAGAAGAGAGATATGGGTTTTGTGATGGTAATTGCTTTGGTTTTGGGTGTGATGGTAACATTATGCAAAAGTGAATATGAGAAGTGCAGAGGGGCTGAGCCATTAATTGACCAATGTTTGTCTTATTTTGAGAGCAAAAGCAAAACACCACCACCTGATAGTTGCTGTGTGGGAGCAGAAGTGGTGCTTCGAAATGCCAATGCCAACACCCAAAGTAGAAGAAATCTTTGTGAATGCTTGAAATGGTATTCAAATTCTTTTCCCATTGATGATGACAAAGTGACTCATCTTCCTCAAACATGCAACATTCCCTCTTATTTTCCTATTGACCCAACAGAGGATTGTAATTCGTAAGCCTCTCTCACTCTCTCTCATGCGTTTAATTTTTGAAATCGATGTGATTTTTCTTCTTCTAATCTCTTATTTGGTCTTTTGCAGGATTTCATGAAGTTCAAGAAGGGAAATCACACACAAGTTAGAATAAACTCTGATCCAATAATAAGTGTATTCAAAACTTATGCAATACAATGTGAAGAGCCATGGATTTTTAGTTTTCATGCAGAGTACTCTCTCTTTCCCACCTCTCATCTCTCTTTGTTATAAATAAAATAAAAAGTAAAAAGAGTGCAAAATTCACTACACCATTAAAATGAATTGTTTTTAAATAAATATTAATATTGACTCTCCTTTTCTCACGGGCAATTTAGGTGTCGAATTTGATAAGTATTACTGTTAATCTCACAATTAAATTTTGTAAAACAAATTTTAATTAATTTAGACATAATTTAATGATTAATTTTTATATTTTAAATAATATAAAATGAATTGTTTTATATTTTGATTTTTAAAATAAGAAAAGTTAAAAAATATCTATTTTTTTTAAGTGAAAGATAATTTACATTATATGAAGTACTAAACCGTGTAAATAAACTAGTATCTTACTATTTTATAACGTACAATTGAAAACTAAAATAAATTAATTAAAAATATATATAAAAGAATTTATACTTGAAGTTATTTGTTTGAAATTTTACTATAAACTGAAACTTATTTATTTATATGCTATAAACATTTATGAAAAGTTCATGCACTCACAAAGTACGAATAATAAATTAATCTATACATTATTATTATAGATCTATGTATAAATAAAAATTAAATTAAATTAATTAGAAATAAAAGCATAAGAAAATTTATAATTAAAATTATTTTTTAAAATTTAACGTTAAATAAAAGTATTTTATTTTATAATTAAAATATTTAAAAAATTATGTATCTGATTTTATAACATGTAAATAATAAATTAATTTACATTAATTATTTGATATTTCTTAAAAAATATTGAATTTTTAAAATAAAATATAGAATAAATCACATGCATATAATACTAAATATTGTAAGTAAATAAATATTCTGACAATTTTATAACGTGTGAACAAACTCTTATAATTTTATAACATGTAAATGATAGAATAATTTATACGTAATTATTATAATTTATTGTGTAAATTAAAATTAAAACAAATTAATTAAAAAAATTTATTTTAGAAATAACATAAGAAATTTATGATTAAAGGTATTCATTTAAATTTTAAATGAAAGCATAAAAATATTTAATTTTATTCAAATAAAATAAAAAATGAAAAAATATAGATATTGACTTTACATTAATAAATAAAAGAATAATCTATTTACATTGATACATTTTTACATGTACATTCACTAATTTATTATTATTTTTTAAAATATAAAATATATGTATATTTTATTTAATGTCCTATTAATTGAAGATGCATTTCCTCTTTGCTCACGTTTTTTAGTAATTTATTTTAATATGTTGAGACATTAATTTTGTTTCTTGGACTAATGGGAGTGAATGAACATGTTATACACAACAAATTTCAAGATATTGACAAGAAATGGAAGAACAAAAATGATAATTTGAGAAAGTGAGAAAGTGAGTGACTTCCCCGTATATTAATGTTCGTGAGAGAAAAAGTTAAAATGCTCTTCCTCAAAGACAATTTTGCCCCTAAAATGTGCAAGTGAAGGGTGTGTGTGTGTCATATTTTCTCGTGATCAGTGATAAGTGAGAAATAAGGGATTCCGCAGGGTATTAATGTATTTTTCCACTTTTATTTAAGTGAAAAATTATTATTTAAGTGAAAGTAAAAAATAAATAAAAATACAAGGAATGCTCTGTCTATTTAAAAGATCTCAACTTGTAATTTTTAAATGTGAAATTATAAAAAAAAGTATAAGTAGTTTATAAAATTTAAAATATTTAGTAAATTAGATGTTAAACTAACATATTTATATTAAATTATTTTAAAAATATATAATAAAATTAATGTATGTATATCAGGTTTTAATTGTATTAAAGGTAAATTTTTTTTAAAAAATAAAAAATAAAAATATTAGTAACTATTTTTTGAAAATTAAACACTTTTATAATGATTTTTAAAAAGTTAGATTTCAAAAGTTATAAGTTCATTTCATTTTTTAATTATTAAATAATTTTACAAGTTTATTAACAAAATTAATAAATTAAATTTTTTTAAATAAATTACAAGTTACTTTTATAAAATATAGCATAAGTGACATGATTGAGAACATGAGAGAACAAAAAAGAAAGAAAAAAAAATAAGATAAAAATAATATAGTTAGTTTATTAAAATGAAATCGATTAAGAGAAAGATAAATTTTAAATTTTTTTTAATATTTAATTTTGTGCTTAACAATTTATTTTATTTTTTATTAATATAATCGTTCATATTGAATGTACATTCTATTCTCATGAACAATAGAAAGAAAAAAGGTAGTGTGTGCAAGTACCTAGAGAGAGTGACTTAGGATATGGTAGTTGTGTAAGAGTAGGAAAAAAAATGTATTTTGAGTCAAATTAAGATGTACTTTTATATTTTGAATAAGTAAGAAATGTACCTTGATATGTTTCATTTGATGATGATCTCATGTTAATTTTTATTTTAAAATAAAAGTTTGAAGATGTTTAACAACTATGACAGTTTCTTAATAAACTCAATTCAATGGTTTCTTAGAACCAAAATTCTTGAGGTATATGTTAATTTAGCCTTAGTCATTCATTACTTGAAAGGGGAATAAGATATCCGAAATACAAAATTAATCTTTTACCAAAACTAGCTACATCAAGGAATTGATGGACTATTTTAACAAAAGCACCTTCCAGCACATTCCTCGTGAGAAAAATTAACTGACTGATGTTTTAGCCACTATAATTAATGTTCGTAGTGGATCAAAAAGAAGATATGTTGTTCATAAAGATGCAACAACATGATCAATTTGCTTATTGTCAAATGACAGAAGAATTTAATGGTAAACTTTGGTACCATGAGATTAAAAGTTACCTAAAAATCAAGAATACCTATTAAGTGCATTTGATTGTGACAAAAGAATGTTGAGATTAGCCATGAGTTTTCTTTTAAATGGAGATGTGCTCTATAAAAGAAATTATGATATGGTGCTTCTTAGATGTGGATGCTTCAAAAGCACAAAATTTAAGAAAAACAAAAGATCATTAAAAATATTCATGAAGGTTTATTTGAGACTCATGTCAATGAATATGCCATAACAAAGAAATTTCTAAGGGTTGAATATATTGGCTAACAATAGAGGCCAACTGCTTTCGTTACGTGAAAACATGTTGTAAGTGTCACATATGCCAATAATATTAATATTTTCTTAACAACTTTGAACGTTGTGTCATCACTTGGCTATTTTCAATGTGGGAAATGGATATTATTAGATCCATTGAACCTAAAGCTTCTAATTGTCACCGTTTTATTCTTATTGCTGTTGACTATTTCATAAAATGGATTGAGATTGCCTCATACACTAATGTGACTCAAAATGTGATGGTGAGTTTGTTAAAAAAGATTTGATTTGTTATTATGGCCTTCCAAATAAGTTGATAATAGACAATAACACTAATATGAATAATAAAATAATGAAAGAATTGTGTGATAACTTCAATTAACATCATAATTCTCCTTTATCGCCCAAAGATAAATGAAGCGGTTGAAATAACTAATAAAAATGTTAAGAAGATCATTCAAAAGATGGTAGTGTCATATAGAGATTTACATGAAATGTTATTCCTACCTTATACATATACCAAACTTTAATTCAAACATCAACTAGAGTAACTTCATATTTTTTGGTATATGAAATAGAAGCAATATTTAACTTTTCTTTACAAGACTACCCTTTTTAAATTAAAGGATGAGAAAAGAATAGTATTTGTTGTTGTATTTTCAGATACTTAACCACTTGTTTAAATTTTATTTTATATTTTTATTAATTATATATTTATCATATTTAACACTTCCTTACTTACTATATAACTTTTAACAAAATTGTATGTGTGTATATTATTATTAACTTTTTAAAGTAGTATTTTATTTTTATTTTTCAAATTTTAAAATTTATAAATATAAAAATTTCAAATCAAATTATTTATTTTATTATATTAATATAAATTAAATTTATCATTAATACTTACAATAAAAATACATTATCTATTGAACTTATAAAATTTTTATTTATTAAATAAAATAAACAGTAAAAAATATTATTTTATTAATATTACACATAAAAATTCTAAAATTTAGTATCAGTATATTATATTTAAATTATATATTTTTTATTTAAAAAATAATTTTTTTAATAAAAACAAAATAAACCCGTGCGTTGCACGGATATATTTACTAGTTTTACAATGACATTTCTGCAAAAATTTAGTGCCACGCTCATTTATTATTGGTGTCTAGAAGAAAATACTATAATTAACGTGCATGACTTTTCGGTACTTAAAAAATTTTAAATTTTAAAAAATAAAAAGAAAATACACACAGTACATTGATATCCGATTCTTTCATCCACGGATAGTAATTAGGGGGCTAATTTTATGTAAGAGCTCGCATTTACACGGAGAAAATAAGATAAGGATAGAAACAATTACTTTATCCAGAAATTTCATATAAGTTAATTAGTTTAAAATATGTGAATCAAAAACATATATTCTTACCTGAATAGAAATTAATTGAAGTTTTTATCTATTTATAAAAGTATTAATTATAATAAAAATAATAGTTCAGACGTGACTATTCATCGATTAGATACTATTTGAAAACGTTCAGACATGGCTATTCATCAAATAGATACTATTTGAAAACGTGACTGTTCAATTTTCATGGAATACACAGCCTCCTATCTATATATACACATAATCATAGTTTCAAAATCACACAGTTATCCACTTGTGTTTTTCCAGCCTTTAAACTCAATATCATTCAACTATGACGGCTTCAAGATTGATGAAAAAGACAAATGATAAGAGAAGACGCACATTCAATAATAGGTCCTCTCCTACAGCCACCATAAAATCACTTCCAAAAGATATGTTGGTAGAAGTGGTTGCAAGGGTAGCGTCTCATTCTATCACTGACCTTCACAACATGAAAATGTGTTGCGCAGATTTTCTTGATGCTGCGGATGATAATCATGTTTGGCGACATGTTTCTTTGGACAAGTTACCGTTAATCCAGTGGTTTCCCAACGACAAAGCATTGTCCTTCTTGAAACGCTGTAGGGAAAGTGGAAACACAGAGAGCTTGTATAGAGAAGGATTGCAAGAATACTTTAGTTATCCAAAGGGAAATATTCGTGGTCTTGAGAGTTTGAAGATGGCTGCAGAAAAGGGTCACACGGATGCAAAATATATGTACGGTATGATTTTATTGTGTTCTGAAGATAATGAGTTGAGAACACAAGGACTTGAACATATGCGTTTTTTGAGAAAGAGCAAATGCATTATAAGATGCAGAAAAAATGTGGTACAAACAGCAAAATTTAGGTGGAAAAATAATGGGACGCTGGCATGCAAACCGACCCCTCTATGCCATGACAAGAACACATGCAAGGGGTGGAGTGTGAAGAAAGGTCAATGGCTATTACTAAACGATGATGATGATGATATTGAGTTGTGTGAATATTGTAGATGGGATCATGAGATAGAGTTTTTTCTATCAGTTATTTAGTGTGTGTTAGTTTAGTTTCTTATTATATATGAATTTATGTGAATTTTCTTGCAATCCAGCCAAAGCTATGAGCAATCAAAGATGTATTACAAATTTTATACTTCAATGTCATTTTCTCATTTCTTACTATATATTTTATTTCAACTCAATATAGTTTATCTCTTGGTCGTTTGTAGTGTCACGAGTTTGTAGTGTGGTTTTTTTAAAGTTTTTATTCTTCCACCATGATTTTATCAATTGTAAGGTACGAGATTTGAGTTCCATGTTAGAAAATCTAAACAATTTTCACCAAAAAACATTGGCAATGCTTTGTTCAGTTGCAGTAAGACGATTGGAAAATTTTTATTTGGTTGGCTGATATAAAATTTTATTTTCCATTCATTGTCAAAGTTAACCATTTCTACAACATGTCTTATTTATTAGTTCAAACATTATTTTAGTAAAGTAATTTGTTTGAGAAGTTGGTCAAATAATTGACCGGTTGTTCTTTTTAACTTGTCAGTTTCAGTTTTGATAATGTTACCAATAAATGTATTATTTCATATGTGAATGGACTCGTGAAGATAATTAAACTAATTATGAAAATAGATAAATTTATAAGATTATGTGAATTGTAATTAATTAAAGATTAAGAAATAAATTAGCAAAAGAAGATTAAGAAATAAAATAAAATATATTTTAAAACTACAAAACTTCTAATTAGAAAATTAGAAAGGTCGATAAAATGTAGATAGATAGTGTTTATTTTATTTTAAACTTATAGCTCGATTTATCAAACAAATTCTTAGTATCATTGAAATTGAATTTTAAATTAAACAAAGTTCTACTGTTTTTATTTGTATCATACCTGTTGGGATTAACCATTTTGTGCATTGCAAAATTCATATACATAGTATATGTATAGGTAATAAAAATTCTGGCAAATAATGCAATGCCCATGATTTTATTTACAGTAAAATAGTATGTATAGTATAACAAAAATACAGTCAAAGTACGACGTATAAATTTAAAATTAATTATTATTTAGCATAAACTTAGTTCCAATGCACAATGTAATTGAATTAGTAGATTAATTAAAGTTTAAATTTAAAATATAGTAAAAATTATAGTATGCTTATTGTAAACGTTCTTAGGTCGATGTTTTTCAATTTTTACAAGTGTAGGATTCATGCTTTGTTGAATGAATCCTAAAACAGTATTACCAATTGATAAAGTTTGAAAGAAAATTCCACTCATTATTTAGTAGAGAAATACATAGTTTCTAATTTATTGTGTATTACATATATTTATTTGTTGGACGTTGTTATTGCTGCTCGAGCTTTCTGGTGATCCATACGCGTAAAAATATCATGGATTAATCCTGTTCGCAATAAGAAAAAGGTTAAGAATAATTATAAGATAATAGATAAATGTGAATGCATGTGTTAAGGTAAAAGGAAAGAATGGTGGATAGAGAGTTACTTGTTGCAATCGACTGATGGGTCAATAGGAGTTGGAAGATTAATTTTACAAAGTTGAGGGATTTGTTTTGCTTTGTCAAGATCGACATGCATTTGGGAAGCAGCTTTCTTAAGGCAATTGCACAAATCCCTTCGATTTTGAGTGGTGCTGGCCCTTTGAATAATAATGTTTATTCCTTCACAACACGCACCTGATAGTTCTCCAGAACCAACCAAAAATGATTGACAAGGTAACAATAACGGTAGAGCCTCTAGGCATGTGATCTCATCAATTTGGCTTGTAGAAAATGTTGATAGCATCAAACATAAAGTCATCACAGGCACCAAAACATTCATCATTTTCACCATTTTGCTTCCAATGTGTTTCTATCTTCTTTAGAGTTTGAAGTTGTGATGACCCCTAAGAAGCATGATTGAATTTATAGCTAAGTTGTCATTTTAATTTGTTGTGTGATAAAGGGTAAGTGCATAATAATTTTTTTTTCTTTTTATTTGTTAGGCTGAAATTAATTTTTATTTTTCTTACATGCTCAAAGTTAACCATTTCTACACATTACTTGTATATTAGTTCGAACATTATTTTAGTAAAGTAATTTGCTTGGGGAGTTTGTTAAACAATTGGTCGGTTGTTCTTTTTACCTTGTGAGTTTCAATTTTGATAAGTCATGTAGATAGTTAAACTAATTATGAAAAGAGATAAATTTCTCAGAGTACGTGCAAAGTAATAATTAACTCAATATTAGGAAAAAAAAAATATATATATTTTAAAACTACAAAACTTCTAACTAGAAAATGAGAAAAATTGATAAAATGTAGATAGAGTGTTCATTTTAATTTTCTTTAATGATGTTGTTCAACTTTAGAATTCAAGTTTTACAACGTTATAGTTATTTTTTCATATTACTTCCAAATTTAAACAGATGTTATGGCCATATTTTTCTGTTTTACTCAACTTTTTAATATATTACTTTTTCAAATTATTTTACCAAATAATTTGAAAAATTAATATTTAAAAAATTATTATATATTTCTCATATTCCGCTGCTCTGTTTTTTTTATTTCTTTCATTCTCCCTTGATGTTTTTCTTCTTTAATTTCTCCTTTATATTCCTTATTCTTGTTTCCACAATAATTTCTCTATTTTTTCTTTCATCTTCATTTTCTTTCTGTATTTTTATTTTTTTTCTATTCTTCCGCTTTTCCTTTGTTTTTTTTTTTTTCCTTTTTTATGCTAATCATACTTGATACAGATAAACTTCTTATATGCTTCCTTTTTTATGAATAGAATGGGTATCTATTTTTTGTTTATTTTCATCTTGGGAAGTCCGATCTAATTTTACCGCATTTGTTAAGACCAATTCTTATTATTTTTAATACAAAATTATGTTTTTTGGTTTTGTTAAACAGGACCAAATATATAATAAAAAATTGAGACAAAAATTAGTATTCACATTATATTAAAAAAATAAAATTTAGAATATTTCATGTTCAAAACATATATAAAGAGAAATTTTAATTTTTCTTATAATTATTTAATAAATTAATTTGTAATAAATAAATAAAATAATATAAAATAGAGTATAAATCACATCATAAATAGTCATGATTAAAGTATATAAGCCATGTAATTGTTTAAATTTTATAATCATGATTGAATATTTATGTATTATATATTACATTAGATGTAAAATTTAGATCATAATCAAAGAGTAAGTTACGTATTTCTTTTAAGAAATTTAGTAGTTATCATTTAGAATATGTTTTTTTTTTTAAATTAAGATATCTTTTCAAATTCTTGATTCTAAATAATTTGATTTTCCGGATTCTGGTCAGAATTATTTAGTATTAAGATTATGATTAGTTTCCCACTCCAAATCGACTTAGTTAGATTTTTATCCCTCCAAATTTTTCCATTCCAGATGTCATTAATACTTAAACTCTTGTAAGGATTCAATAAGATAAAGTTTAGGTGCAACTAAGATTATCCCTTGCAAATAGATAATACATCAAATTCCTAGATCTTGGATTTCTTGAGTTTGATTCTTGTATATAGGATTTCTTAACCGATGATATTAATTATATCAACAAGAGCACTTATTGAAATATCCTCCAACATATATATAAACACATCATACCGTAGCTTCGAAAACATAGTTTCCAATCCTAAGTTTCCGCAGCCTTAAACTCATCAATACCATATCCAACCATATGGCTCCATCAAAATTAAAGAAAACGAGAAAACCCACTTTCAAGAATGCGTCCTCTCCGACAACCGCCATACAATCACTTCCAAAAGACATGTTGGTAGAGGTGGTTGCAAGGGTAGCTTCTCATTCTTTCACTGACCTTCACAGCATGAAAATGTGTTGTTGGGATTTTCTTGATGCTTCCGAAGATAGTTACGTTTGGCAACAAGTTTCTCTGGACAAGTTCCCACTAATCCAATGGTTTCCTAATGACAAAGCATTGTCCTTTTTAAAACGTTGCAAGCAAAGCGGAAACATAGAATGTGTGTGCAGAGATGGATTTATAGAATTCTTCTGTCATCCAAACGAAAATATGGGTGATCTTGAAATCTTGAAGGTGGCTGCTGAAAAGGGTCACATGGAAGCAAAATATATGTATGGTATGATATTATTATGCTCCGAAGATAATGAGTTAAGAAGAAAAGGGCTTGAACATATGCGTTTTTTGAGGAAGTCCATGTGTGTCATAGCATGTAGAAAAAAGGTGGAACAATTTGCACAACATTTATGGATAAATAGAGCATTAGTGCGAAATCAATCCCCTCTTTGTCGTCATAAGAGTATATGCAATGGATGGAGATTGAAGAAAGGTCGATGGATATTACTGGATGAAGATGATGATGATGATGATTTTCACTCGTGCGAATATTGTCGATGGGATCATGAGTTAAACTTTTTTTACAATTTATTCGGTGTTGCTTAGTATAGTTTCAGTGAATAATTGTATTTTAAAGCAAGTTTATGTAATTTTTCTTCTCTGCATTTTGTTTATGTAGACACATTAGAGTGGCACATGTACCTGCTTTCTCTTTCTATCGAATGTTAAAATTTGGCAAATTAATTTTTTTTTCAATTTGTTTTATGTGTTTTGAAGTTTTGATAAACGCTTTCAATTTCGTCAATATTTTTACAAACATGCATCTTGATCGCTTTAGAAAAATTTAAACTCTTAATATAATAAAAGTTAATTGTTTTAATAATTAAATAAACAATCTATTCATTAAATACTTGTATATTAAATTCTAATAAGAGATGGCTCTAATTGCTTATCTCATGTTACAATAATAATAAGTTTTTATTTTGACATCTATACATATACGTGTATAATATAATAGTGATACATCAATGCAATTCGAATATAAAAATATTATTAAATCGATATATCTTATTTATATGATAATATATTACATAATAATTTTTTAATTTATATGTTTAATTGAATACAAGAAATGAATAAATATATTTTTTAATATTATAAGTAGAAAATAAATATATTATATTTATTTTTCATTAA